ACTCATGACTCTCGATTCTCAAGTTCTTGTGTATGTCTATATTTTCAGTGTGCGATGGAGCCTTTTTTAAAAAAAAAAGTATTCATACGTAACTAATGAACAGCATTGAAAAAAACAAGCACGAATTTCCTTCTTAGATAAAGGGCAACCAACCTGACGACCTGGATATCTTCCTAATTTGAACAAATGACAACTTTCTCAGATCGGCTAGAAAAAAGGCCCAAAGATAGTAAATCTCTTTGTGATCTAAGTCGGGCACTTACACGTAAGATAAAGAAAAATTTGCTCCTCTTCCGTAACGTCAAAGTCACGATCAAAGATATTATTCGGTAGACTGAGACCTTACGCATTTCAACATAAGAAGTGACTGACCGGTAGCGATACCATATTACTAGATACGTTCCGCTTAATATTAGGTTTTATCTATTATTAACTTATCATTTAAATTGAACCAATTAAGTTTTGCTAAAAATTTTTATTTAATGACCAGCTTACTCGTTTTGAGTGAGATACGGATATTCGGGAAGTGAATTTCAACGAGTAGCATTTTTGCGTTTACTATCTCGTCCATGCCCTTGTGCCCAAATACGCATATGAGTTGCATATTGACAATGTGATACCACTCATTGAGAGAGCTTGTTTTTTTGTTAGGGTTGAAGCTAAACGGTTATTTATAAATTACAAATCTTTTGGCTCATATATAGTCTATTACATATTACAAGATGATGTAAAGGCGGTACTAGAAACGATATGCAAAAACCTCAATTTTTTGAGAATATATTATTTTCGGCTCAGCCATTTCGTTTAGATACGTCAGTGTAAATGTGAACCACGTACGCATAGTTTATTCTACCTAAAGTTTATTGGTCTGTATTAGGTATGAGAGAGTCTAACTCTAGTTTTATTTACTTGAACTATTTAATATGATTTTTAAAAATATGTGAAATCAAAATCTATTGTAAACCTCATGTGACTCTTGAGGGTTAACTATATGACTACTACCACTACTGCCCTTATCTTTTACGGACACTTAGACCACAATCGACTTAAACTCTACGTATGTTCGAAGCATACAGCATAGGCAAAGCTAAACTGATATATTTAGTTCTTCACCAATTTTGGAAAATATGTTTAAGTAGTAAATTCATGTAAGTAGGAACAGTGGATATTACTAGTATTTGATTTTTAGTTCGAGACCAACGCAAAGAATAACTTAATCAAGCATTAGTAAATGTAATTGCATTGTTTAGATGAACTACTTTTTTTTTTATAAAAATAATGTAATTTCCTTTATTAAATCTGACATACGGAATTTTTGTCAATGTTAAAATGCAAGCATCCTTGTTTATTGTAAGGAGGAGCAAAAGAGCACATGAATGATGTATTTCCAGTTTATGGTTGGCTGCACAAAGTAACAAGGGCAAAAAGATATGAAAAATCGTTTCAAGGTGTAAAAATATGTATCTTAACAAAAACATTTTGAAGTGTCTTGTACGTTGGCACTTCAATAGAATTCGAAAATAAAACCGCTTTATTTATTTTTTCACTGCATTTCCTCTTAGAGTTTCCGCTGTCATCCATCAAAACTGTAAAACCGGAAGTGTGCGCGCCACTATTGTTAACGACAAAATATTTTACTATTTTTGTTGTTGTTGTTGTTGTTGTTGCTTTTTTCTCTTCATATTTTTTTATATTAAAATAAATGCCATGTTACTTGCCTGAAGTTATGCATTACACAATAAAAAGGTGATACAAAGCACTGTAACAACAAAAGAATACTAAATTATGTATTAAAAATATAAAATTTAATATTAAAAATATAAAAATGAATAAAAATTTAAATAAAATAAGAAATATAATTTCACCTTAAAAATAATTGAAAATAAATTAAAATATTTGTGCATATTTCATTAGTTTATTATTAATTTATTGAAGAATTTCATTGTTAAATTATTTTCAATGTATCAAAAATTATTTATAGTTTAAGTTTCGCATTTATATCGAGTCCATTATTATATTTTTTAATCAGAAGCTTACAATATTTTTGTATATAAATGGGTTCGTAAATGTATTTTATTCTGAATCAAATCCTTTTTTTTTAATTTCGTTCCTTTTTTTTTAAATACAATAATTAACTCCAAATTTTTACAAATTTTTGTGTTTATATCTATTAAATTAATATCAATATCTTATAATCTTGCGAGATTTTTTTGTAATTAATTTTCCATATATTATGCATTATTTCTTTATCAATTCTAAAAATTGGTTTACGATTTAAACTATTTGAATACTGCGGTCACTATTTATATTTTGAGCCTAATGAAGAAATAATGAAGAAAGTATTCTCAAAGTATTATCCTTTATTCACTTTTGCATGCGTTCGAACTGTTTGACAAAGCATTTTTTCCAAACTTCTTCAGACACCTTCAAAACATGGTTTTTAGTCGTAAATGCAACAACTCCTTTTTCGCCATTGTACAATAAAAATGGTGGTTCACGACCATTTTATTCTTGACATTCGGGAACAAGAAGAACTCATTGAGATTCCAAATCAGAACTGTACGGTGAATGACCCAATAATTCGATTTTTTGAATGTCAGTTGTCAAATAGTCGATTGTTAGACGAGATCTGTGAACACTCCCATTGTCTGGATGTAGATGGAGAATTATCCGACGGCGCTTGTTTGTTTTCCGTATTTCACTGAAGAGTCTGGTAAAGAAATTGTTGTGTACCATTTGTAATTGACCTTATTACATTCCTGTAATGATGCTCGTATAGTTACTACATGTTTCGCGAAGAAACAAGTGACCATTTATTTCGCAGTGCTTCGAGCGCGAAAAACTTTTGTGGAATTTCATTCCAGCTCATTTTGAAACACACATACAGTCATAAGAAGTATATACATATATTTAACATAAATATGTATTATTTTATAACGAAAAAATTTTTTAATATAGTATTGCATTTGTTTTAAGTTATTATTCCATTATTTTTAATTATTTATTATTAAATTATAAATAATTAATTTAATTATAACTATTTTATTAATCACTTTCAATTTTTCAATTTCATTAAATATACTTAATTTAAATATTTTAACTTTATTTCATTTTGCTCACATATATTATTACATTATATAGTACAAAGTACTACAGAAATTAAACTGTGAAATTTTAAAATCATATAATATATATAAATGTATAAATAAGATAGATCATTGTCAAGCCACAAAAAAATGTTAGTACTTTATTCACAAATTCAATAAACATTATTATTTAAAATTAGCACAACAGTGCGTATGAGTGACACAATTTCAAGAAATGGTTTTTACGCAAACAAAACAACTACTCAACTTTATTGTTGAAATGTCAATCAATTTTTTATTAAAAAATATTATTAAAATACATATAAATATATATATATATATATATATATATACATATAAATTTGGAATAATTAAGTGACAACAATTTACAGGGCGATAAATTGATCATTTAACCGTTTCCCCAAATTTACAAAAACAATTTACAATTCTTGCATACAGACATTTACAGGGGCGGAATCATACCATTATGTTACTTACATATGTTTATAATTTGTTTTCATTTTTTGGAAAAAAGAAAAAAAATAGTTCAAAGTAGAAGTCTTATGAAAAATTTTCTATGATAGCAATGCATTTTAAACGAAACACGAACAAAAATATTTAGAAACATTTTTAAATGAATAAATTATTGTAAAAAAATGATCGAAAAGTCTATAAAAAAGTTTGAGCATAATTTAAAATGCATTAAAATAAAAAAGCAAAAATACAAAAAATACAAATTTCATGCGTCCAGTTACTTAATTAGTAATATTTTTTTTTAATTATTATATTTTTTGAACATTGTCTTATTACAGATTTTGTACATATTTTCAAGGTTTAGGTAAAACATTATAATTTTAAAATATAATCCATAGAATTATATGCATTTACTTAACAAGTATTAATTAATTTTTCTTAATGTTTCATGTTATTATTTCATTTCTCAAATATTATTTTGTTTTAGCTTTTGCAATGTTCTTTAAGGCTCTTAATGAAACATTTATTATAGCTTTTGAAAATTGCAGGAAAGTACAAAATCATTAAACCTATACTACATCCATTTACTTAATTAGTACTAAATATTTTTTCTTAATTTTTTTCATTTTATTATTTAATTTTGTAAATACTGTTTTATTTCAGTTTCTTATAACATTTTCTAAGTATTACAATGAAAGAATCATTATAAATTTTTAAAACTCCGGGGGGATACAAATTCATTAAAGCCATACTACATACATTCATTTAATTAGTACGAATAATATTGTCTTAATTTTTTTTTATTTTTTAATTTTGTAAATATCGTTTTATTTTACTTTTTTTGTGATATTTTCTAAGAATTACAATGAAACAATCATTATGGTATGTAAAATTTGGGGGGGATTGTAAATTTCGTACAACTCTAGTACACACATCAACTTAATTAGTATTAATAAAATATGTTTGTTGAACAAAACTAGTTGAAATTATTTTATGTGAAACAAATGAAATACACAAAGCTTATCTAGAGAACATTGTTTAAGTATTTGGGTTACTTATTTCACAGTTAATTAAGTTCAACAAAATACCGAGTGTAGCAAAAGTATTTAAAATTTTTTTCTCTTCTTTTTTCTTCTTTCCATTATCTTCATACAAATAAATGCAAATAAAAGAACTGCATTACTTTCGTGATAGTCATTATGCCAACGGAACCCACCTCAACCTCAACCACCACCACCACCAAAACCTGCAACAATGAGCTTAATTACCTAAAAGTATGCAATTGAAAATAAAATAAAGTGAATATTTCGGAACAAAGAAATCTGAAAACCTAACAAAATGCTAAAAAAACTTAAACAGAAACGATGGCGCTGCCAACATTTTTTAATTGCACTTCACTATTTTTTAATAATTTTAACTGCAACAACGATTCCATTTGTAATGACATGGAGCAACGAACTATACGACCTCCAATCTAATAAGACCACCAACATCAACATCAACGCCAACACCAACTCAAATAACATACTAACAATTGTAACTACAATGGAACAAATGGATTATGAAGATCAGCACGATCTGCAACGAAATGGTTTACTCTATAATAAACATAATCAAACAGCAACAATATTATCATTAGCAACAAGAAGAAGAACAAGAACAACTACAACAGCAGCAATAATTAGTGCAAATAATCCACAAATGCTTTTAAATATTTTGCCAGAACCCTTAATGCCGTCTAACAATATTGAGGAGTTAACAACTATTTCATTTTCAAATGCAAGCGACCGTCCTTTCTATGCAAATAGAAGCAAAAATCACATAAAACTAACAACAATAACAACAACAGGTGATCCAACTATATATAATAGCATTAACACCAATAATCAGCTACTACAACAGCAAGAAGAAGAAGAAGCAGCAACAGACGTCCATGCTAATGACAATCAAATCAATCACAGCATAACACCCGCAACACTTGTGAATCTGCAACTGAACTCCAATACGAGTCTTAATCCGAGTTCACAATCGCAATCTCATCAGTTACTGTGGAATTGGAAGTTCAATCGAACGAGATTCAAGCGCTTACTTAAGCACAAAGGAAATGAAACGCAAACATTATTCAACAATCTCAGTTTGTGGCAGCAGCACAATTTGAAGGTGAACCAAGTGTTCGAGAGTGAACGCCGCATGACGCCGCACAATTTGCAACTTAATCGAGGAAAAATTGTTTTACTCGGTCTATTTGAGTTGTCAACGAAATTGGGACCCCGTCCAGATGGATTAAGTGAATTATGTGCCGCTATGATGGCTGTCGAACATATTAATAACAAACAACTTCTACCTGGCTATACACTGGAGCTGGTCACAAATGATACACAGGTGAGTTAAAAGCATCTCTGTTCATATTTTTTCTTTCGTTATTTATATTCCTCCTTATATAAATATTTATATATAATAAAGTCTGTTAAATGTATTTTTAATTCCAAACAAAACGCCATTTCGTGCTCTATCGAAGTTTGAATATTGGGATTTTCCATTGCACTCAATATTAAAACTATTTATTTCAATTTTTTCGATATAATTTTTATCTGAAAAAAACTTCATACGAGTATTTATATAAAAAAATGTGATTAAGTATTTTTTTGAACTCTTTAAAAAAAATTATATCAAAATCTGCTTACATTAATGCATTCAGTTTTTAAACTAAATAGTTCCTTTTTGAAAATTTTATGGATGTACATTTTTTTAATGACCTGCATTCAAAATTTTGAAATTCCGTCTGTGGGATATATGTCCTGGTTAATTTTAATAACTAGCCACAGTTCGTATATCGACAATAACTTTGTTAAGGTGGCCTTTTAGGTGTTCCAATGTCTTTCGGTGCATTTAACTAAGTAAGCCAGTGCTTGTATGCATTATCATTGAAAATAATCCACAATCGTGGAGACCCATTTACAAGACTACTAAAAAAAACCCTATTGCCAAAGGAATAATTAAATCTGAGGAGACGAGCTTGTCAAGGTAGGAGCTCTTCTCCCTAAAATTTACTTCTCAGATATAGGCGTTCCATTTAAATTGACAATTAACTTAAAATACCTAAGCATAGTCAAGGAATGCTGGACTGATAAACCCCACTCTCAGATATCTAGTTTGTGTTGATCTAATTTAGACAAGAAACGAACTAACATAGTTAGCCACTTTAACTAAGGTGAACCCTGCCAACACCACGGTATTTATGCTGACGGGCCACTGCAAAATAGGAAATAGGAAATTTTTATCGATACTATGGCTCTGAATATAAGGAGGAGACCGTCCTTCATCTTATGTGTCAGTGCCCTTTTTTAGCTAGGAGAAAATTTATAATCTTCAGGACCATTTTCTCATGGACCTGATCAAGCTATCATTGTTTAATGTTAGGGACCTGGTCAAATTTATAGAACTGTCAGGTGGTTTTCCATTACCTAATGGGGGAGTGGTTGGCTATATACTGATTTAAGTCTTTGTATGTGCCAATATTATTCCTGTGGTATTATAATGGGTCATTATTTATGTTCAAGTGGGCTTTTTTTTGGAAACAAGACCGCCATTCTTACCTACCCACCTACCTATGACAATATGTTTTCCACTAAAAACAATGCTGAGAACTTGATAAACAACTCTCTTAACAGAGACCCTTTTGTTTTATATCAGCATATAATTCATATATTCCTAATCAATTAAAGTATTAATAACGACCAATGTCTTTAAGTTTTAAATTGTTATGTAGTTAATACTTGTATATGTATAAAGCTTCTATTAAAATCTAATTAACACGTGTAGAATTCTTAATGTATTTAGTAAGTGCATATTATAAAATTTATTGTGATTTATGTGAACCGCTTAGAAAAGTATGCTGAGTAAAAAATACCCATAAAAATCCTTAGGCACTGTGAGTGTAATAAAATTATATATTAAGCTATTTACCCCCACCAAGTCATCAAGGAATCTGCTGTTTTAGTAGAGCGTGGTATTGTGAAGAGAGAACATTACACTTAAATCCATAATATATACAATGGAATTAAGCAATTCAAAAACCCCAAAAACTCAATTACAATAAACAAGCGAGTAATACGATTTTCATGTTAAAAAACAGCGAAAATATGTAAAATTTTGAGAGATAAAAATTAAATATAAACAGAAAAAAATGAAGTAAATCAGTAAACGAAATTGGCAACAAACAAAATTAAACACTTAATTATAAAAGCTCATGAATTTTAACACAATTTTACCGCACTGAGCGAGACGTCTCAAAAGCGTACTTAAGCGACGTAATTGCGTACGACTGACATATGCCGAACGGGCGATATTAACTTAAAATTTCATTGCCAACAAGAAGATTGAACATCCTTCACGAAATGGCATTGAAAGTGATGGCCTGGGATGGAAGAAATGGCAGGAATGGAAGGAGTGGAAGGAGTGGAAGGAGTGGGATAATCTCATCCGCTGTCGTATGCTAACGGCACAAGCGGTACCTCACCGGTGCCTACCTATAAAAACGACTCAGATGCAAGTGAAACATTAATGCGAATTAGACGTTCATACGTGAGTGCTTGGGTGTGCCTATGTGAGGTGCGTATTATGAGGGCATACCCTGAACTGCGTAAGACACACTTTTGGATTGGTATTTGCAGGGCAAAGCCATAAGCAGTACAAATCCGAAATTAAAGTTGTTAAATTTTAAATAAACAATTTCATCTCTTCACCAGTCATGCTTGTTGGTCTTAACGTTCTTTTGCGTACGATATTAAAAAGGGATACGAAAATTTATTGTTGGCAGCAGGATTCTTAAGGATATGGTTACGTTTACGTTTAGTAGACGTAAAATTTGTTATTGTTGTTGCTTGAATGTTAACGTTACCAGAGATTTTCTTTTATTCGATTTAATATAAATGAAATTATCCTTTAATATTCTTCATTAGATACTTTGTTTCAACCGTCGTCGCCATCGTCAACCTCACTCATACATATATACACATACATATATATATATATATATACATATATATATATATATAACTCGTAATATTATCAAGATTTTATAAGTATCAATTTTTTTCTGTAGTACTAAATCTTTACATTGTTTCTATTTTATACTTGAAGTGTGATCCTGGAGTCGGAGTTGATCGATTTTTTCATGCAATTTATACGCAACCTTCGACTCGCATGGTGATGCTGTTGGGCTCTGCTTGTTCTGATGTGACGGAAAGTTTAGCGAAAGTAGTACCGTATTGGAATATAGTACAGGTAAATTATTATTTAAATTTAAGGCAATATGAATAAAGCTAATTTAAGAATTAGTATAAAATTAGCTGTCAAATTTAAATAAAATAAATAGCAAAACAACCAACCATAAAAAAGTAAAAGTCCGCAATAGCATTAACTCAAACCACAAGAACAACAACATTAGGATGGTCCAAAACAGAGACCTATGTGTACTACGATTATTATGATAAGATATCAATATTTAATTGATTTTTATTTAATTGCAAAGAGAATGTGGTTCGTTGTGTTATTTAAATGAATCTAATGTTATTGCAAAAGGATAGATGGATCTATTGTAGCCCTTGTAAACCCTTTTAGGTTTATATATTGTTAAGAAAATGCATCAAGTTCGCGCGTCTTCATAACCTATAATAATGGTTGTGTTATTTTAATGTTATTGCAAAAGGATAGATGGCTCTATTTCACTTTTCCTCATAACTTGTTTTTGTTAGTTTTTGAATTTTTATTAACACTTATTGTTCTCAGAATACAACTATAAGTGGTAATACATATTCTCCATTATCGTTTCAGTTTTACAGCAGTGATTACAGTCAATCGACTTAGAGTTGACCAATTTATGTAAGTGGTAGTAGCAGCTTTAACACTTTTTGGGTGCGCTCCTCTCTTTATTAAAAATAAAAAACTTCACTTCATAAGTTAAATTTAATATTAATGTTTATAATTATTAAGTCCCATTAACACATTTTTGTATAGTGTTTATACAGAACAAAATATTATTTGCTACGTATACACGTTTACATATTTAATTGCACTGAGATAAAGATAAAGCATCATTGTAAGATCTTAGGTCCTCTATGAATATATATATGCATTCTTAAAATTATATTCCAATATTCTAATATAAATGTACAGTGAACTCTGGGTGTTATGAATATCCGTCGTAACGAAACTTTTTAATAATGAACGATTATATACTTGTATACAACATGCACCCCAAAATTGTTCTTTCTAAATAACGAATAATGTATATAAAATCGAATCGAAATAACTTAGGGTCTTAAAAAAATATCTGTTGTTATTCCAAGAATCTAAGGTACATACATATATGGTACTTGTAAACAACATACATACCAAAATTGTTCTTTCTAAATAACGAATAATGTATATAAAATCGAATCGAAATAACTTAGGGTCTTAAAAAAATATCTGTTGTTATTCCAAGAATCTAAGGTACATACAATTTTTTATCAGCATTATATCTGAGGGCATAATCTAGAGAAATTGACAATTAAAAATAAAAGAATAAATAAGAATAAAATTATTTCTAAAATTTCAACAGACATTGAATAACTATTTTGGACTTCAATTAAAATTTTTTCATTTTGTCGATATATTTAGTGCTGTTAAGTAGCATTTGTTTTTTTATTTTAATGATGTTTTTCCTGTTTCCGCTTTTGGTATTTGTTTTAGTCGTTTAAGGTGCTGTTAGCCGGTATATTGCGACATTTTAAGTTTTGTTTTTAGTGGTTTAAAGAAGCACTTTATTTGTTTTTACTGTTTTTTTTCTGTAAAATTGGTGTAGTATTTATTTGTGTGACTTGTTTTTGATAAAGTTAGATGACATTCGCAACTTGTACTTATCCTACTAATATCTATATATAAGTATTCAATGCTCTTTGTCAAAAAGACAAAAATTAAAGATAATAATATTTTAAACATATTTTATATATTTATGATTCTTTTAGGTTTAGCAGGGATTGAGTTTAAGATGCAATGAAATGCAATTTTTAAACTAATTTTAATTAAGTAACAGTATTTTACTTAATACAAAGTATATTATTTAATGATATATTGTTTGTATGTAATAATCTTATACTTAAATATTACCATTAGTGCTTAGAACAGGACATGTCATGTGAAGAAGCATTTAATTTATAATTATAGCCTCAAGACAAATCAATTTTATAGATAAATATATGTTTATGTATATATTTAAATGTAATTGTATAGATATATGTAAATATATAAACATATATATATATATCTATAAAATATACGATTTTCCGAGGATGTCTAAGAAGTTATTATGTCACAGATGCCAAATATACTCGTATCGCCACTGTATTTATACACTTTAATTTGCCATTTACATACCCTATATTCACATCCATACATTATATGCAAATAAAAGTAAAAGTAAAACCGGCGAACCACACATATATTGTACTATTATATGTATTTACTTCAAGAGTTAACAGGTATAAATTACATATTATAAACGTGTAAGTTATCTCGTATCAAATAACACAATTATGTGGATAAATTTCTACGTAGGATGTGTTGTATATGTATCTTTGTGAATTTATCTCTTATTTGCATATATGCAAATATTTGATTATATTGTGACCTTTTATGGCAGTGCTTTTCTAAAATCAGGTTTTATGGGCATGAAGTTTATTTATAATTATACAAATACACATTCACATATATTAACATGTATTCGTATAGATATTATTGTAACATATAAATATAGTTTGTAAAAGAACACTAGCCTATCTAGTATCTTTAGTGGTTATCAGTGTAAAACTGAGAAAAAATTTTATTAAAGTAAAATTAAATACGCAGGAATATTTTTATCATTATCATTTTATTATTAAATTGATATTTCTTTTTAATTTTTTTTAGTTATATTATAAATGATAAAATGTTTAACATTACCAAATATATAAATATTTAATTAATTAATATTTATATATCAAACAATTATTATATTAACACTACTCAATTAAATAATTTATATATAAATTCCACCTTTATATATTTATATACATAGAATATTTAAGAAATATGTAATATTTAATATTTTAAATTATGTAATTTATAGTTATAATATATAAATAATCTATTTATATAAATATAACAATTTAATATATAGTTATATATATAGGAAAAAATTATAAAGGAATATAATTATAGGAAAATTATATAGGAAATTAATTAAAAAATAAATATTTTATTTTTATAATATTTATTAATTATAAAAAAATATATTTTTTACAATAACATATAAAATTTTAAATTTATATTAAATTTTTATTCAAAAATATTTAATAAATTTTTTATTTATAAATAAAATTATTAAATCAAGTGTTAATTTACGCAATAAAATGTAGTTAAAAATTTTATATAAATAATTGTATAAAATATTTTTAAACAAAAATTATTTTCGTCAGTCGACATGAAGTCTATTTCAAGTAGAAAGAAGTTTTATAAATCACATTTTAAACAAATATAGAGAGTTCTGTATTGTCAGCATTATTTATTTAACATGGAAACACTCTTTGGGTTTATAGATCACCAAATTACAAAGAGTAGCGATAAATATAAAATGGTGCAAAATGGTGATATCTTCTTAGTTCAAACCCCTGTTTAATATGTATCACTTTAAGTATTGTAAAGTTCTCTCGTTTCAATTCAAAAATAAAATGGTTAGTAAACAATCTATAATAATGAATAAGGAAATTAACCTCAAATCGTAGAGGAAGATGTATTTACTTCTATAAACATGCTTCATGCCTTTTCAAAATTTTAAATAATTTGTGTAAAAAAAAATGTATAACTACAAAAAAACAGTACTCACACCAGTTCTTCAAATATTAATCGGCTTGAATCGGTTCAATCGAGCTTTTTAAATGTTCGACTGAGCTGATCTGTATAGCTCGAACTGACAGATATAGTTTGGCTCAAGCTGCTCGATGTTTATACACTTTGAAGCACCACTTTATATATAAAGTTCTTCAGGAACTAACGCTTTTTGAAATTTACAAGTATTTGCATTAATTTTAAATACTTTCCGTTAAACTTCAATCACAATATATGCTATGTATTACCCCAAAATCGCTATAGATTGCAGCTACATGGAAAAACTAGAAATACTTTTTTTTGAATTGGACTCTACTATTATACTTTAAGGTATCTTTTGGTTCAACTTCGCCTGCACTAAGCGACCGAAAAGAGTTTCCTTATTTTTATCGCACTGTCGCACCCGATTCATCCCACAACCTGGCGCGTATTGCTTTCATCCGCCGCTTTGGCTGGGATACGGTTACCACATTTTCACAAAACGAAGAAGTACATTCATTAGCAGTAAATGATTTGGTAACTGAATTGGAAGCCGCTAACATCTCATGTGCAGCAACTATAACATTCGCAGCAACGGACTTTAAAGAGCAATTACTACTATTGAGAGTGAGTATTGCCCAAAAGCAAATTATTATAGATATAGTATAATTAAAAAATTATATAAAATTAATTTATTAATATTTTACCATAATTTATATGTTGATATTTTTTTATATATACCCTCTAGGTATAACCCTTTTGTAAACTCAACTAGTTTCAAATTTTAACAGCAAAATTTTGTGTTTGTGACTTATTCAAAAAGTCGGGTATAAATGTGCATTTATATGTCTCTATTAAAATAAAAGTTTTACTTTAAAATAATCTTCTTCACAAATCACAAGATTTTCATGAACTCAAAACAGTGATCACAAAAAATAGACTTTTGAATCTTTGACAACTATTTTAGTTGAATCAGTCCACACTCTTATATTACACAAGTACTTCATAGTTATATTATTTTTTTCTGCAGTGATTAGCCTTCACCGTGTCTGGGTATTGTCATTAGGCAATACACTGAAGGCATGGGTCGATAACCATATAAGTGGTTATAGAGCCATGACAGTGACAAAGCTCCATTTAGCAGATAACTGAAGGTTTGGACTCTATGGCAAGAGTGACAAACGACCGTAATGGTCCACTATTATAGCTTAAATCTTATCGTTACGTTTAATATCAATGTCTGCTTTAAAAAGTGTTAAAAGATTTTAAGAATCCGTCTGCAAAGAAATAGAAATAATGGTAGTCACTAGACGATACAGTACGATTCTGCATTGGCACCTCATTTAATAGTAAATTTTATCTTTTGCATTTTGCAGCACTAAAAAATAAAAGCTATTTCTAAGACACTTTAGATTAGAGTAGCAGAAAGTTAATACATTAACACCTCTTCCCTAAATTTTGCCTCTACTTACGCGCATGGTTTGGGCTTAAGGATCAATTAGTCGGTACGTTTCGTAAGAACGTAAGTCAAAGCAAAATGAACCAACCAAACACACCTGTGACTTAAGCTTTGGCTTAAGTCACAATTGCAATTCAATTGTTCCACTCTGTGATAAACTCAAAATTCATCAAGTTTAAGATAAGTATGTATCTTTATACTTTTGGCAGTAGCGCTTACTACATGGTATGTTGGGAGTCAAACCCCTTCTTAATATTTTAACCAACCTTAAATGATTCTCTATATACGATTTTTGGTGAAGTCTGAAGTCTTTAATTATAAAATATTCATATATCTTAAATCATTTAAATTTAAAAGCAAACTTTAAATCCATAAGTCTTTTTCATTTCATTAGCGCAGTGTGAGGGAGAAGCTGTAAATGATATTTATTTCATTAAATGTTTGATTTATTAGAATTTAACGAAGGCTCTAAATAACACCAAATAATTAGATTGATGGTTAATGTTAAGTAATTAAAATGAAATATGTAATTAGATAATTTGTAATCCATGGCAATTGCTGTAACACTAAATTGATCAATCAACCCTCACACACTTCTCGCAACTACTAGGGAAAATATTTTTATGATGATTGAAAAATACTTGAGAAAATAACACGAAATCACAAAATATACAAACTCCACAACACCATTCACGCCTACCCGTGAAGCAAAAAACTAAATAAAAGCCTATTTTCATTTTCATCTCCTTTATTTTATTACTATTACATCAATTTTGTTTTCTCGTTTTTTTTTACCCTTAGGAAAAAGATACGCGTATAATAATCGGTAGTTTTTCGCAAGATTTAGCGCCGCAAATACTCTGTGAAGCCTATCGACTGCGTATGTTCGGGGCAGACTACGCTTGGATTCTGCACGAGAGCATGGGTGCGCCATGGTGGAACGCTCTGCCCGCCGCTGATACCCACTGCAGTGCCGCTGAATTACAAGAGGCAGTTGAGAATTTGATTATTGTCTCAAGTCACAACAGCATCGTGGGAACCAATATAAGCCTAAGCGGTTTGGTAGGTATTCCTTTTACTCGAAAAGTTAGGCACACTTGTGGCATAAGCTCCTTCTCTCCTGCGGTGCGGTCGTTTGTTTAGGCACATTGTTGGTTTGTTTATTTGTTTATATTTATTCGGTGGTTTCATGACTGAAACGGCACAAACCGATGGCATAAAAAAGACCATCAACCTTTAGCTGGGAATGTGTTGACAAGACAATGATAAAAATGATTTATTTGATTAGGAAAGCCAAAGTTGGATATACGAGTATAGGAGTAATTCAATTTATGTTAAATGTAATCGAATAATACTCATAGTATCTATGAATGCTCGTGTATACAAATATATATTTGTAAGAAAATATAAATTTTATGTGTTTCTATTGCAGCATCATTTTTGGACATAAATTAAGGATTTTGACATTTGTATTAAGTAATGATTCGGAATGAATCCTTAAATGAGCTTATTAAATAAATTTTACGGTTATATCTACATTGTCCTAGAGAAGGAGTGTTAAGAGAAGTCATATAAAATAAATGAATGTATTTTATTAGCAGTAAACGATGTAATGGTCCGTCATAAAAATAATTGTGAAATAATACTTGTAACAAATTCTGTTCGAAAAATTATAATATCCGACAGTAATTCGTGTAATGTAAATATCAGGAACTCATAGTCTATTGTATATTCTATTAAAGTAAAATTAAATTAAAATTGAAGATGTTGATAGATAGTAAACAATATGTAATATTCAAATTGGCATAAATTATTTTATTTAATAGAAAAATATGCACTGTGATACACAGAAATTTTTAAAATAAGGATTAAATACAAGACAATTAATTCTACTTTAAAATCTTGTCATAATTAAAAAAATTTTCTAAGTATAGCCATTACTTACTTTAGCATAATCCTGACTACGCCCCTAACTGACTACGCAATATATAATATAATATAATTTAGTATCAATAATATTAAGAATACTTAAAATAATTAATAATAATAATCAAGCAATAATTATGATAAAAAACAACAATAATAAAAAATAATAAACAATCAATTATAATAACATATAATAAACAATCAATAATAATAATGAATTAAATAATAATAATAATAATAATAATAAATAATCATAATAATAATAATAATAAATAATAAATTAAAAAATAATAAATAATAATAATAATAAAAATAAATAAATTAACAATAATAATAATAAATGAAATTAATAATAATAATAATAAATAATAATAATAATAAATAATAATAATAATAAAAATAATAATAATAAATAATAATAATAAATAATAATAAAAAATAATAAGCAATAAATAATAATAAAAAATAATAAGCAATAAATAATAATAACAAATAATAAATAATCAATAATAATAATCATTCAATAAAAACATTAAGAAATAATAATTCATTATTTTATTATATCATGGCTAGGTGGTAGAATTTTAACACCATCATTTTCGATTGGGGATTCCGAGAGCATTTGTCCAAAGGTGAAATTGATGTTATCATCATAGTTTGGAGACATCAAATACTTTCAATACAGTCTGTGTTTTCGTAATCAAATCACCAATTTCGTCTTTACAGATTAATACTCTAGCCCTTTAAGCCCAGGACTCGGACGATTAAATTTTTGACGAAACTTGCGGGCATCATTCCTATTTCTACATTTCTCAATTTCTTCTCGCTCGGGACCTTCTTGATATTATTTCTTTCGTCTAAATATCTTCCTCTGAATATCTTCGTCTCTCTCTATCTTCCTAATTTCAAGCACGGTTCGCATAGCTAGAAGTTGCAGGGAGTAAAATCAGGTGATATAATTTTATGAATACAATTATAATCAAGTGATATTATTGTAGAACTACTATATAATATTCTGCATTCGCCATGTGAACTTTTGGAATGAAATCGTTATGAACAATTCCTTTTGAATCAAAGAGAACGTTCAACATTATCTTCATTTTATTGTTTTGAAAACGTAATTTTGTCTTTTATGGTGAGCTATATGCTCTACGTTTTGTAAAACCTCTTTGTAGGGTGATGAGCGGCACTTGGTCGTCAACATTGACGAGTGGCTTCAGGATGTAAACTCGGCCGTTTTAGGAAGGTGTAATAGCTGTTAAGACCTTATACTTTGTGGTATCTGAACATGCTAAACACACCGTTTCCATTATCAAACCTGCATGTAATTTGGATTTATTCGTTGTTCCAATATATTTAAAGTACCAAAAATCTCTTTGAACCACTTTACGGTAGTTTTAATATAATACTGTGAGTTTTGAAAAAAAATCAACAGCTTCGGCCTCCCAAATTGTTCTACAGTATCGATTCCGCAAACCACAATCAAAAAGTTAACTTCAGCGATGCAGAGTCATCATAACACTTTTCAAGCCACTACAGGATTTGTATAACATTTTCGTCCCCTTCTTCCATTGTTTTGAAAAATGAGAAAGTAGCGTCACAAAAACCAACGTAACTCACAATTTCGGTAATCACAAACTTGGGAAATTGATTTTAACTTTGACTTTTTTCCGCTCTGTTGTCTGTATGTGTTTTTTTTTACGTATATATATAGATTTATATGAACGTCCATGTTTATATACATTTCCAGAACAACAACATGTTCAATGCACAACTGCGTAAACAGTTTGTACAGTTCCGAAACTTAATTGCGACTACATCAGCGGAAAAGGAAGCTGCTAATAACTCTTTAATAAGTTCAAAAGTCAAGAACTATAAACAATGGCCACAGCATCTGCAGCAGCGTCAACAGCATGAACAGCAACAATCGCAACAAAAATCAATAAATCCTCAAAGAGCTGGTGAGCAAATTGTTCAGGAGGACAATGCTTTCGTTTCAAGGTACGCACCACAAACGTACGATGCCGTTTGGGCGATTGCTTTGGCATTGCGTGCAGCTGAGGAGCATTGGCGTAAGTTTGGAATTCAATCGAAATTGGACAGTTTTGATTACACACGCAGCGACATGGCATGGGAGTTTCTACAGCAAATGGGCAAGCTCAATTTTTTAGGCGTATCGGTGAGTAATCCAATTTGCCGTTAAATAAATTCTTTTATTTTCCAAATATTTACGAAAACTGAAGAAAAATATTTATCTTTTTTTTTTTGGATAAATAACAATTATAAAATTTGTACTCTTATTTCCATTAAATAATATTTTGTCATTTAATTACTTGTCTAATTGTTCACTATCGAAAAATTATAGATTATTATTTTACGTCTTAATATTAATACAAAATGAACAACTTTAGTAAATAACAGCAAAATCTTTTTATTTTGTAGTAATAATGTCAATTCTTATAATTTCATTTTGAAATGGAATTTCCCCGGCACTAGAAAAATTTAGTCATTTTATTGCGTGCAAAAGAATGCACAAAAGAATGATAACAAAAGGTGTAAAGCGTAAAAAAGTTTTTTCAAATTCTTGTGAAATACTTAATCAAGCTACCCAACGGGAATTCGTGGAATTATTGTTGACCATGACTTTTAATCACTTTATATATAAATATATTTTTAAAAATGATGCATGAAAAATATTTTTAATCTTATCACGTACTACAGAAGTTAAAACTGGCTATATATACATATGATCTAGATAGGAATCAAAATTTCATTTCGCATAATATTACATTTCTACTGCAGCTAAAACTACATAAGCTGATTTATGCCTGTTAAATAACAAATATTTCAAATTTTGGTGATATGATGATGGCAACATTTTTCAGTTGATAAATCAGCAGCGCTCAAATATGAAATGAATTATTCATTTCATTCGAAATTTCAACATTAAATTTTATTACCTAGTTTGTACATATAAGCCGAACAAAATCTCCATTTTGTCCAGAGTTGCCATCGAAAGTATTATATATTTTATTTGTTCTTTTGTGACATGCTAACAAAAAAAAAGCCTAATAATGTAAAACTTAAACTACCAAATTATAAATGACTAAATTCAACATTCAATTACTCTTTTTCTTGATTTAACAGTAATTAGCAGTTATCAAAGATATATTCTAACAGGAAAATGCATACTTTCATAACAAATAAGTTGTATTGAAGCACAGAATGTTTTATATATTTTAAAAGTGACAATACGAGTGAGCACAAACGAGAAATATAAAAATCATATAATAGATTTCTGTAGTTTTGAAATGACATTTGAAATCAAAAACCAAAAATAACCACTCACATGAAGTGTCATTGTAATTTGATTGTTAAATTTTTCATGTGTCCACACCTTTTATTTACTCTCACAAAATTTGTATTTTGCATACATAATACATATATATATGATAAATAACATTTTTGTTTAAGTTTTTATGAATATTTTATGCATTCCTAAAAACTATTTACAATAAGCTATGGTTATATTGTACAATTCTCTATCATAGAAATTTCGGCCGATATAAGAAAAGAACTTTTACTACTGGGTAACTAGTAATAGTCAGAAAAAATCAAATATTGTTATTTGCTTGTTTTGCATCAAACAATACCTGTACATGAGTTCTTTGTTCTGTGTTAAGTAATGTCTTTTACTCTTCCTTTTACTAGTTTCAAGTGACTCTAATTGGATTGAGAATAAAGTGTGGCGATTAATCTTGTAAGATCGTTGGAACAATTAAAGTATTAAATAAATAAAATATTAAATAAATAAAATAATAAAATATTAAATAAAATATTCATTATGTGGAAGTTTTGAAAGAATAAATACTTAAAACAATAAGTGTGAGAAACAGTAATATTTGATAATGCAGCGGAGTTTTAAGTTTTTTTGGTTCTCAGAATTTTGGTGCTTCGTCGTTATGTGGTTTGTGTTCCAATTGTATTTTAGTAGTAGTGCAGTTTTAATGTCTGATGAATGTAGTTTTTTTTTTCTATCCAATAAATCAGTGTCTAGAAATTGCATTTATAAGAATATTACATGCTCACAGAAGTGTAATATCGGATTAATAATTTATATTTGTGTTTTAATATTTGAATGCGTGAAATGTAGTGTTTATACAACAATTAATTTTATATTAAATAACAAGCAACAAATGATTGCTTTATTAAAATATTTGTTTAAAACATTTAATATTCGAAACATATTTTATAATAGTTGTATCAAAATATCAAGTGTCTGTTGTTTATTAAACTAACTGTTAATCATAAATCATGCGTTGAGGTTATGTCAATTAAAGAATATAACAAATTCAAAATACACAATTTTAGCCATCACTGTAGAGTGAGTGGCAAGCAAGCATAGTTACGTGTGTGTGTGTGTGTGTGTATAAATGTATGTGTATCAATTTGCTTGGAGTTTGACCTTGTGACGGTCGTAGTAACTGCATTCAAGAGAATTAATGGTCTAGGCTAAAGCATTTATTTTATTCTATTTACAACGTACTCCAGTGCTTCTTTACGACGCACCGAAATTGTAAAAAAATTTCATGATTCCGGCACCAACTGTTCGAGTATAATTAAATTTTTTAAAGGCTTTTTGAACAGTTCTTAACTCTTCAATTTATGGCATCCTTTAATTTATGCCATCCTTCCATCCTTTATTTTATGTCACACAATTGGCTCCGCAAAGAAAATAAAAATTTTATAAGAAACATTTCAATCTTAACTTTTTTACTCTTGTTTAATTTGAATAAAACTTATAAATGTTATTAAATTTCTGTTTTCTTTAATATTTACTTTTTTGTTTTTTTTTTTCCTTTTTTTGCATATAAACAAACAACATCTTTGGACAAATGGGTTCTGCGTCCATAAAATCACTACCGAAACCACAAAAACAAACATCAAAACGAATTCTTTGAATTAAAAAACGGCAACAATAACAACTCGAAAGGGTCCTGTATCGTTTAGTGGGCCGGATCGCATTGGTACCACAGCTTTTTATCAAATACAAAATGGTGTCTTGGAGCCAGTCGCATTATATTATCCAGCTGAAAATTCATTGGATTTTTATTGTCCACGTTGTAAAACGGTGAAATGGCACAGTGGTCAGGTGCCAATAGCTAAGCGGATACTTAAAGTGCGCGTGGCCACAATTGCGCCATTAGCATTTTACACCATCGCCACACTGTCGTCTGTTGGTATATCATTGGCAATTGCATTTCTGGCATTCAATTTGCACTTTAGGAAATTAAAGTGAGTATTTGTGTGCATTTAAAATGGATTAATTACCCACTTTTATTATTTGTCGGGTGTGCTTTCCATTTTAGTTAAATATAGACATAGAATTTTGAAAAATATTCAAACAATGATGATATCTATCCTATCTATCCCATTGTTATGATGTTAGAATTGGGCCACCCTGTTTATGTGTAAACAGGGTGGCCCAATTCAAATGCAACTTTTCACAATTATGTATGTTAAATGCTATGGATATGGGAAAAACGATGATATATGTTATGTGGGAAGAGTAGTAAAAAGAGAATAGGATAGACGTATAGATGTGAGACAATGTGTTTTTCTCTGTTTTATTTATTCGAATTGAAGTCAATCAGCGCCTCTGCCCTATATTTGAGCGAACCTCTTAGTGTCTTACTAGGAATTTTAGGAGTTGAGTTTAGTTTTTAAGTAGATTAAGCGCTTAATTCGTTTTTATAGTGTATAGTTTAGCATATTTTTCAATAGCTGTTGGGTTTAGACGAAACTTTTGCGAATGTACACCTGCGGGAACTTCTTTGATCACTAAGAATGATTTTCCAATAACTCTTGTCTGCAGAATGTCTCATCTCAAGGATTTGAACTGGCTTGCACTTCAAAACTGTAAAGGCCACTAAAATAAGGGTTAAAATATTAACCCTTCGTTATATACGGAGGTGCACTTTTGATCATGCGTAGTGTTTTAGATTTGATTCGCTGTATAATTGCCAGGTTTGAGTCTGCTGTAGTACCCCATAATGGGACTCTATAACTCCATATAGGTTTTAGTACAGGTTTTATATATAAACAGCTTATTATCAAGTAACAGTTTGGAATTTCGATTAAGAAAATAAAATCACTTTCGCGATTTGAGACCCAAGATTTTACGCTTTTTGAATATGTGTGTTCTCCAGGTTAGTTTATGTTACGCAGATGTATATCCAAGTATTTTTTTTTACAGCTTATGGTGATTAGGCATTGTTTACAAAAACAGGCGGGCAAGTAAAACGTTTTGTACTAAATGTTACCTGGACATATTTTTGTTTCATTTGGTTTGGTACGCCAATTCTTCATCCAGAGAGCAACATTGTTGGCAGATTTGTAGTTTGGTGGAAGTACAAATTGGGTCACTGTCAACTGATAAAGTAGTTAATTACACCGATTACACACTCATCGGTAAGGAGAAGGTCGGCAGTATATAAAAGACAAATCATTGGTCCCATTATGCTACCTTGAGGTGGTCCTGCTCCTATATCATGAAGTTTTGTGGTTTCATTACCACGGTCAATGAAAAAGTGCCTTATCGAGAGGTTTGATTAGATCAATGTTAGAATATCGAGGGATTGATATAGTTTTAGTTTGAAAAGCAGGTACGTATGCCATACTCGTTCAAATACTTGTGAAATATCTATAAATGCCGCAGTGCAATATTTCTTATTATCTATTCGCGTTGTGAATATGTCTGACAAGTCTATGAATTTGTTCTAACATATCGTGCTATGTTTTTGGCGAAAACCGAATTGATGGTCGGGGATGAGTCTGTATTGTGGGATAATCGGTGTAAAGTGCTTTAGGCACAATATTTATATCTTTGCATATAATGTTAAGCGTATAATTTAGAAGGAGGAGTTATACCGATTATATCTCGTATATTAAAAATATTAGTATAAAATTAATTAAATAGTTGATATACCATTTGAATTATATACTTAATTATGTATTGTCTTGAAACTTTTTTTGGTTTTTCGTATTCATGCAATTATTTATTGTGTATATTTATGCAATTATATATTCATGTGCAATTATATATTCATCTGTTCTGTAAAAAAATATTTATAATTTGTAATTTAAATTTTAATTGTAAATTGTAAATTGTTAATTGTCTGCTCGTCTGTCTGTTGATTCGTCCATCCATCAGTCCGTGTGTATTAAGCTCACAGTGCTGATTTGTTGTGGGAAGGAATGCAAAAGTGGCAATTATGAATTTTATATATAATTACAGAAATAACATTTTTATATACATTTTGAACTGACGTAAATAATTGTTAACCATTTCATTTTCAAATAAATATTCAATTGAGTTATTAATTTCTTATGATCGAATTTTGCAGAGCTATTAAACTTTCCAGTCCGAAGTTAAGCAATATAACAGCGGTCGGATGCATTTGCGTTTACGCTGCTGTCATACTTTTGGGTTTGGATTTTTCTACACTGCCATCGGCAGCGGACTCTTTTGCCACTGTTTGCACGGTGAGTTATCACATTAAAGGGATTAAAAATACTTTAAATAATTATAACAAACATTTTAAGATATTCATTTATTTTTTTATATTTTAATATTGTATTATTTAAAAAAGGAAAAGGTTATTTAAAAGGCTAACAGCCTTCACTGTCAGCCTATTGATTGAATTTCAATTATAAAACATTTTCTACTCTACATAAGTGATATGAAATTGAATCTAAGTATGAATACCTCAGATAAGAAGAGGCCCTATGCTTCACAAGGAGAAGAGAACTACAGTAAGTAAGTAATAAATACTTACAGCGAAAACTTTCTTAACAATGGACCCTCTAGAGTGGATAGATTTCTTAAACAAGATTTGTTTTAATAATTTTATTTTAAAAAACTTAACCCTTCTTTGCCGAACATCCCTCTTGAACATACAAAAGTGCGCTGGTGATGAGTAGCTCATTCAATGCAGTTTTCACTCTATGAAGAACTCTATTAAAGTAAACATCTTTTGCGAGTTGCTTTCCATTTGTTTCAGTAGAGTATGCTATTACGCAAAACACAAATAAATCATTAATCAATCAAAACACAACTTATCTTCAAAATAAGTCCCATCAAATGCAAAATAACCATATAGACATCTGTCCCAATACTCTATATATTATTCGTGCGCTTTTTAAGATACCGTCTTCAACACTCTTAGAAAATGTTCTTTTATGACTGCAACTCTTTTAAAATGCTTCGGGATTCAATCATCTTTATTCGATGACAACGTCTAATTATTACATCGAATACATTATTTTCCATAACATAGAACATGTTAGTAGATTCCTTAGAGTACAACTAATTCAGTCTAAACGAGAACTTGTGGATTTTGTCTTATCTTACATTACGTAAAAGAAGCATTACTTCGGGAGGGGTCTCTTTTATATTGGTGTTATAAGTCATGCTCTTTTGATTCTTTATCTGCGACCTCTCTATTTTTTTTACCACATTTTTTTGTGTCTGCTCTATTTATAACCCTAGTTTCTGCTACTCCTTTCCAAGTCTAATATCATCGCTTTAAGGACTTGATTCACATGCAGCATCGTTCAGCAGTTCTCTCAGTCCGCTCTAATGTTTTCTATTCTGTTCTCAATTGGTTCAATCTGGACTATTATTTCTTCTTTAAATGTGATTCACCCATTGCAGTAAAAGAAGGTGTGCCCTGCATCGTCGCAGTCTCTGTCGTCATAAATGCAACTGGGAAGATCCGCCTTGCTCCATGTGTTATAGGTACTTGCAAAAATATCCTGAGTGAGATAGTAATTTGTCGATTTCCACCGATATAATCAGATGATTATATTAGTTCTCAATCTAGCTGTTCATCTTCTTCGCGTGCTTTTGCTCCAACTAGCGATGGTTTAGTTCTGATCTATTTCCATTTGTTGAGTAAAATAGTCGTTTATCCCTCCTTTATTGGTTGATCAATTGGTGTTACAATTGTCATTACAAGATTTGCTTCCGCTGAGATAGTGCGATACGCTGATGTGATATGTAGAGTCGATTTTTGTATAAACAGCAAAATAGTTTTGCGTGTTTTGGTATCTATCCAGTGCGTCAGCCCTATGCTATTCACATGCATAAAACAAGTTATGCCAATGAGAACGCCCAAATTTTAAGTTAAATAATATAAGTTGATTTAGATGCAGTGGAAACACGGTACAACTAACAATGAGTCGTGATTTATTTGACTCATTTTTTTTGTTATGATTTATTTTATTTATTTTTTTTCTTAAATGTATGTGATTTTTGAATTGTAGTATCTCGTTCGACATTTTTATATATTTGCAATATATAAGTTTCTTGTGGTTATATTAAACTTCTCTTTGACCTCACCAACAGTTTTTAAATAAGTCAAAAAACGCTTAGAGCAACTTACGAACTTTATTTTTTGGTCTTTCATAAATGTAGTAACTTTAAACTTTAAAGACATCTATTAGCTGTGAGAGTTAGCTTTGGCAAGCCTTTTCCATAAAAGTGGAGTAATATTTTATTTATTGGCAGTAACTTTCACTGCATTTTTTATGAGTGCTTTCTTTCGCTATGCTTTGTTCACTTCTATTTACTCACAAATATTTTTTCATTTCTTATTTTTTATCGAAAATGATAAAATTGCTTATATAAATTGTTGCTGATGGTTCAATTATTCCCTGATATTTTTCAATTTCATAATCCAACAGTTTTTGCACTGCTAATTAACAGCTACAGCTCTGAGGCAACAACACAAAAACATCGTAGAAAACCAAAAAATGTACCGAGTAATGAAGTTTATTGTTTCCACTGCCAAAAATCGAACAATTCTACATACTCGAGGTCTACCCTCTGACAGACTTCAGACTCACTACATGAGTATGTCCATACGGAGACGTGCAAGCTTGAATACATAAGTGTCGTTTTGTGTTGTTTGCATATAGTCCTGTAATATATGTACAGGACAATGCAAATATAAAAGTTTGCTATAGACTATAATATCCTTTAGCCTCTGGCATGCGAAAACTTTCTGATGTTGTTTTTTTTATTTATTTTTTTATTTCTATATATTTTTTTTATGTAAGAGAACTTTTGTTAAAATTGTGTTCATATCAGAAATACTGAAGCTGAATTTGATATATTGGATAATAAGGATTTCAGTATGTTCAGAAAATCCTTATACGCATTGTGTAGGAAAGACTCAAATACTACTTTAGTGTGCATTTAGCAAATTCGCTTGTAAAACAAAGTCACTATAATATTTGTAAGTCTTTATTAAATAAACTTTTTTCTGTACTGTTAAATATTAAATATCATAGTATTTTTTAAATTAAAAAAATTGATTTATTTTATATTTAAAGTAACTAACTATAGGTCTGATCTTATTTACAGGCTCGTGTGTACTTACTTTCTGCAGGATTTTCGCTTGCATTTGGTTCAATGTTTGCCAAAACATATCGAGTCCATCGCATTTTCACATGTACAGGCAGCGTTTTTAAGGATAAAATGCTACAGGACATACAACTTATTCTGCTTGTTTGTGGTCTTTTGCTCGTTGATGCGTTAGTGGTTACTTTGTGGGTGGTTACAGATCCCATGGAACGTCATTTGCATAACTTGACTTTGGAAATTAATAGCCTTGATCGTAGTGTTGTGTATCAACCACAGGTGAGCATTAAACCTTAAATTATATTATGTTATTAATAAGTAGAATTTATTTACGTTTTAAGCTGTAAATTAGTATATATAAATAATACCAGTTAGCAAAAATTTAACTCAAAAGTGTGCAGTGATTTATTTTTGTTAAAAATACACTACACGTACAGTATACTTAATCAAGTCTGAAACATATAATATTAAAAAAAAATTTTTTTTTTATTATTATAAATACATATCCATTCATCCATTTCACATTTGTTACAATCCCAATAAATACATGTTAAATATTTCTAATAATTTGCAACCCACACTAATGACAAAGCTCCCACATATGTGAAATCCAAAAATATGTTTAGGAGGTTGAAGAGGACAAATTCTTTGTTATGTTATAATAAATGTAAAGTTTACACAAATGTATTTAATAATAAAAAAATATTCGCTATATATGTATTTTGAATATAAAATTTTAAGGTGTCTAATTTGAGAAACCAGTTTTAATATTCACTTTTATAAAAATAAACTAATATATTATTTTTTAAGTTTATTCACATCAATAAACTATTGCATTATTGTAGTTCATTATTTACTACTACAACTTCTATTGTCCCTACTGTCGGGCCTCAATAATTCTTCTAAATCTGAGTCTATTTGTTGCTTCTCTATAGATGGCGCTTCATGTATATCCTGCTTCAGCTACCTCACTCTCGATTGTTCTTCTCTATTTTTCACTGGTGCACTAGGTCATCTGCTACCTTGTGGATTCCATGCCAACGCTTGTCTCGCTATGCTATCTTTCAGTTGTCTAAGCGTATGGCCTATCCACTTCCAATTTCTCATTTTTATCTGATTTTGTGCTGCTTTTTGTGTCGTTTGTTTCAGCAGGCGTTCATTTGATGCTCGATCTGTCCATATTCGATCTGTTGATAATTGACAAAATTGACGTAGACACTTGTTGACTAACACTTGGATATTTTTGTCTATACAAGATTCATTATTAAGTTTATTTATTATTATTCATTCATTATTTGATTAATTTATTATTTAGTTCATTCATTATTTAATTAATTTATTATTTAGTACATTCATTATTTAGTTTATTCATTATTTAGTTCATTTATTATTTAGTTTATTCATTATTTAGTTTCTTAATAATATAGGTCATTCATGATATAGTTCATTCATTATTTAGTTTATTTATTATTTAGTTCATTCATTATTTAGTTTATTTATTATATAGTTCCTTTGTTATTTAGTTTATTCACTATTTAGTCTATTCATTATTTAGTTAATTTACTATATAGTTAATTTACTATATAGTTCATTCATTATTTAATTCATTCATTATTTAGTTCATTCATTTTTTAATTAATTTATAATTTCGTTTATTCATTATTTAGTTCATTCATTATTTAATTAACTCATTATTTGGTCTATTCATTATTTAGTTTATTCATTATTTGATTACATATTGATGAATGTACTAAATTCATTATTTAGTCTATTCATTATTTAGTTAATTTATTAGGTAGTTCAGAATTTTATAATATAGTTTAATTATTTTTCATGAAAAATGATTTATTTGAAGTGTGTTTTGATGTTTATAATAGTATTATTAAATATTTAAATATTATTGAAAGAAATGCGTTTCAATAAGCTAGTGGACTGCTTGATACTAAGCCAAATAAGATTGATATATAGTTTTCGGTTTGGATCGGCAAAAATATTGGCTTTTTCGGTTAAAATCCGGTGTTTTTTTGATAGTTACTTTATTTTTTTAAATAACCTGTATTTCGATCTATATTGAAAGTGGGCTCACCCGCTTCTTCCTTCCATTTTCTTTACGTTTCTTGAATTAACTAAGCTTATCCAAAGACCAAGTTCTGTATATGAACAAATTTAAAGTATTGTATACTTTGGTTACTCTTGCTACTCTATGGGTTAGTAATAACAACTAACCCAGTTGTGATTTAACTTTATGTCAAATAAACTAAAACGTTGCAGTCACTCAACTAAGTGCTATGAAATCTTGAATTCTTCCCACATTGAACCCATTTTATGTGCTTTGGTCAAGTATATGCGGTAACCATTTACCAATAACATACATTTGCATTATCTTTGTTGACAAGGGTTGTTATAATATTCCATTTTCTTTCCTGATTGAAATAATGTTCAAAATGATTTTTTTCTTTAGCTAGAATTGCAGTTATCGTTGTCCTTAAAATATTTTGAGTTCTCTCACACTCTTTACTTCATTCTACAAATATTGAATATTAGAAATAATTGTTGCTGGTAGATTCACAAATCTGCTAATGCACTGACATTAATAAAGTTTGCCCTAAATTATGAGATATGAAATGCCAATGCAATTCAATATTGTAAGGACTTGTAAAAGTGAATCCTTACAGCATGAATTTGCGAACGTGTCAGAAGTTCTTCGTGTCTTTCTTTCAGTATAAGTTTTGCTTTTGTTGCCAGTCACAAACCAGTGACTTGTATACTCCATGGATTGCTGCCATCGGATATTGCCAATGCACTTAAAAGTTTTTCGGGGCAACAACAGAAAAGAACTCTATCTTATTAAAAGCAAACAATAAGTGGCAGCGGAGACTGCCGAGAGACTGTATCGAAAGTTTATTCCTTCGGTCGGATTAATGATTACTGAAATTAAATTTCCAATTGTCGACTGCAATTTCATGCAAATTCGGTTTAAACTACACTGACAATTCGTGCTCGATGTCATTTTTGGAACCTCGAATTGTGGAAGTGGAAGTGCTCGAATTGTTGCGTTGACTACTTAACTTTAATTTTGGGAAACAATACGCAATACGAAAATTGCTACAGACAATAAATTTAAGTATTTTTGATTAAAAACTTGATCCTTAAATTCATAGTTTCGTACTGAGTAAATATTAAGAAGATTATTATTGTTATAAAATTAAAAGCAAATAGCAACTAAAGTTAAAGTAAAAGTTAAAGGATTTACCCATAAATTTCTTTAAATTCTATAAAATTCTATAAAATTTCAGACTCAATAAATTCATATCTCATACTTTTTTTTTTGTTTGTTTGTTTGTTTGTTTGTTTGTTTTGCAGGTTGAAGTCTGTCGCTCACAACATACACAAATATGGCTAGGAGTTTTGTACACATATAAAGGATTATTGCTTATTGTGGGTGTGTATATGGCTTGGGAGACACGTCATGTTAAAATACCAGCTCTGAACGATTCGCAATATATCGGCATGTCCGTGTATAGTGTTGTTATAACGAGCGCAATCGTTGTTGTCCTGGCAAATTTAATATCAGAACGTGTCACTTTTGCTTTCATCACAACTACTGTGCTAATACTCACCTCGACAACAGCGACATTATGTTTGCTCTTTATACCGAAATTGCATGATATATGGGCACGCAGTAAGTAGTAAAATTGAATTTAGACAAAAATATTAAACGATATATGCACGCAGTACGCAGTATATATACACGTATCTATCGGTTAGACAAACATGTGCTACAATCTCGACATATATGGTATTTGTCTACAAGGTGCTAAAGCATAGCAGTGAAGATAACACGACATTAAATACCAATTAACACACATTAAATAGGCTTACACAAGCACTTATATCGCTTCCGATGGCGTATAATAACTGGGTTATTTAAACATTTAATGACTTCCTTATTTTTTTTTTTGGCACCCTCAATGCCTATATAAACTGTTTTGGGGGGTAATTTGTGGTGATTTGCAGATTTTATTTCCATATGTGTGACAATTTAAATTGAAAGAGTGTTGAGGATACTCGTTTCGGTTAAATATAATCACTTTGGAAGTCTTTAATTGATGGAAGGTAAATTTAAATATGGAAAATTTTTTTCAGCATTTTTAAAAAAGTGTTTAATTGATTCATTTATAAAATTTATTTATTCACTTATGCTAATTAATTTTTAATTTTGTATATTCTATCAATATATATCAGGGCTTTAAACTAGAAATTTTTTCGCTCCGGTTCAATAAAAAATAATTAAGCATAAGTGGAACAAAAATACCGTTTTTCCGGTTATCAAAATCTCGAAAAAGAAATTAATCTCGAAATATTCAAATAGTCATTTATACAGATTCTGAAACACACTTTCTTATTACATATTTAACTATAATATATATAAAAGTGTTTTCCAATTGGTCATGTGTGATTTCTCGTTTAACATGGCCCGCTTGCAATCAGCTTAAATCTTACGAAGTCATAAAAAGTGAGCGTGTAAAAACTGCAAAAGGTTTTTACAGGTCATTGGGTTCTGGAACCCACGCAGAGAAACTTGACTTTTCTTAAAGTACTCATTGCAAAAGTTGAGGAAACTATTTATCATTTTCTCTGTGAATGCCCGGCTTTACCATTCAGAAGAAATATGTTTTTTGGAAAGTACTTTTTTTTTTAATTTATTAGATTGTTCATCGGTAAGATCGAAAGACCTATTGAATTATCTCAATTCAACAGAATGGATTAAATCTACATTTTTCTATCTTAAGGTTTGTTGTAGGAATGTTTATTGAGTTTAATGGAAAGTCTATTGACCTGTTATTGCAACCAGCCAACTATAATAGAAATATAACATATTTATTAATTTGATTTTTTATTATAGATAATTCAGTCTCGTTTTGATAGTTCTTTTTTTTATTTAAAGCTTTATTAGAATTCGTTAAAAATGTTATTTAAAAGATAAACGTGTTTGAAATTAAATAGCATGATTTGTTATTTTACACTTAAATTTTATTCTATCCCTTTTAACTTTGGATACAAATATCTATCTGTTTGTAGTCAAAATTTAAACTTTTTTGCTTCAGTCAATTCTAAATGCTATCTAAAGATTAAACTCCGGTAATCGATTGTAGTGATCTCTGAATATTATAGATCTGTTAAAACCATATCGTCTAAAAATCTTACAAGTTTTACTGCTGAAGTATATATTGAAAGGGTTCTAAAATATAAAATCGGTTTACACAGCTGTAACTTTGAAGGTCACCAATCTACCATCAGTGTCATATACTACAAATCTGACAAATATAACAATGTGATACTATGTTGTCATGGTACTGTCTGATTTGTTTTAATTTCTTATCATTATTCTTTGTAAGGATCTTTAAAAAGTAAAAGTTGGGCGATAGGGTTTAAATGTGTACTGTAACTCTTTCCTTTGAAGGTTAATTAGTAGAATTCATTTAAATTTGAAGATTTTAATATATGTTAGTTGGTCAGTTTGTCTGTATCTCAATAGTTTGAACACGCAATCTTAAAATTAAAACACGCAATCTTGAAATTATAATTATTATTAAAAACTTAAAACTACTCAAATTGTTGATTAATTCAATATATTTTCTCTTCTATGTAAATAGATGATGTCATTGACCCGGTTATACATAGCATGGGACTAAAAATGGAATGCAATACTCGACGTTTTGCGACCGACGATAGGCGTGAATTACAATATCGGGTTGAAGTACAAAATCGGGTCTATAAAAAAGAGATAGCTACACTGGATGCAGAAATTCGTAAGTTAGAACGCATGTTAGAGTCTGGAACAGCATCTACAACGACATCATCTTCGAATTCTTTAATAGCAGGCCAACATATGGTAAGTACAGCAATAACAAACACTACACTATAGATATATTAAAAAATTTTATAAATTCAATAAGTTTGAATTATATCTTAGACCATATTCTTACAAATTTTACAGAATTTACACATACAAATTTTTTTAAAATATTTTAGCCTGAAGTTAAAGTTACTTGTGACTCAATTACACATATACCGCCATTACCTAGGCTTAATGAATCACGTACACCGAGTATATCTGGTATTTTGCCTAACTTGTTACTATCAGTATTACCACCAGTAATACCTCGTGCTAGTTGGCCATCAGCTGAATATATGCAAATACCAATGAGACGCTCGGTTACTTTCGCGTCACAACCACAATTAGAGGATCCTACCATAACTCAAGCATGTTTACCTGCACAAGATTTATATAATTTGCGTTTGGCACATCAACAGGCAACTGAATCAAAAAGCGGTATCATAAATCGCATAAGAGGCATTTTTTCACGCACTACATCTAGTAATAAAGGTTCCACAGCAAGTCTTTCCGATCAGAAGGGTTTAAAAGCAGCATTTAAATCTCATATGGGATTGTTTACACGTTTAATACCATCATCACAAACTGCATCCTGCAATGCTATCTATAATAATCAAAAACGAGAATCTGATCCAACCAGTGGGCATGATTTGTACAATTTAAAGCCTATGCATCGAGCATCGTTTGCTAAAAGTGGCACACATTTAGACGTTACCACAATCGATCCTACTTTTTTGAAAAAACCAACTATCTGTACTGATCCCATCGAATTGTCTCTTCAACAACAAAATACCGAAACTACTGGCAGATATGTTAAGGTACATGAGACAAAAGTTAATTTTATATTGCCACATAAAAGAAGACCTTCTATTGCACAATCGCAACCTGCATTACGTCAGCGTGTGCGAGGATCGCCAAGATTTCCACACCGTATTTTGCCGCCTACTTGTAGCTTAAGTGCATTAGCAGAATCAGAAGACCGTAGCCTAATAATGAAAAGACGAAGTATGACACTGCAAGACACCATAAATGGAGAAAATTGGAAATCAATGGAATGGCTTAAAAGTTCACAAGAAAATTTCGATGAGGTTATGGTTGTTGAAGTGGAACATGTTGTTCCAGAGGATGAGATCGGTGCAAAAGTTGAAGTAGATGAAATACAGTTGTAAAATATATATGTAAGTTTTAGTTTTCCATAATTTATTTTTTTTTTTTAATCTATCCATAAGTTAACAAAGTTTGTTAAAGATATCCTACATATTTGCCAATTAATATAATTGTTTCGGTTTTTAACTGTCAATTTTTTACATTAGTTACATTAGTTTACATTACATTACATTAGTTACATTAGTTGCGGAATAACAATTCATTACAAGTTCATTACTAAGGGCAAACATTTAGCTAGGAAAGGGGTTGATGCTCGTTAAAATTAATCAGGGGACTATATTGATATATATGTGTATTCATGATTAATACGTCGTGATTGTTCAATTGTCGTTTGATTCTATTAAATAATTTTTAACCGTAACAGTTTAATAGATCTATTGTGCGCCATTAAAAATATGAAAATTAGGATAATTCATGTTTCACTGAGTGCTGCGTAAGCTATGGTGAAGCTGTGATACCTGTGCGACTGAAATTGTTTTGGAAGATAATTTATCTGGTATGACTGTAAAATCTTCTGCTCTTTCAGCTGTTGATCATATTGGTTGTCGCGTAGTTTTGACGCGACTGTACAGTTGCTGCTGAAAGTAATTGATGTAATTGATGTCTCCATAGGGGGTTGTAGCCTTAGTTCGGAGATTTTACTAAGAGTACTGTATGAACATCTTAACCTGCTTGTGATTATTTGTTGTCCTTGAATGAAAACGATGTTGTGTTTAGGTAAGCATTCTAGGTCGATCGTCAAAAAGCCTGAACCTTTTAGATTTAGTGTTATAATTTCCTTATTACATACTGTAGTGATTCGTGAAGATGTTGATGTCGTATAAATCTATTGATTTTAGGTCACAGTGTTGGCAATGTGTTTTAACCGATAGTTTGGTGTTGTGTTGTTGTTAAATAGGTTGAACTCGCACGCACATACTTTGGAGCCAAAATTGTTTCTTATGCGAAAGTTGGCACAAAAAACTTCCCCTTCATTTTGATCTCACAAAGATTTAAGATGTTCAGCTTCCATACAAATAATTTATTATACAATATTATCTATGTTAACTCATGAGGTATTGTTCACTTAAGCCTTCTCAGTTCATTGGTAATATTTAGCAGTTGAATAGCTTCTACGTTGATGTGATTGAGTAATTGTTTTTCATGCCTAGCACCTACTTCTTGTATGGTTTCTTTGACTGTTGTAACTTTTAACTCTTTATTTTTTGGTTTGTTACATATCGATAAGGATGCCATAAATGTAAGTAACACCTTACAGAGAAATATAGACTGCATGGTGGAATACTTCCAGAAATGGAAGATTAAAATAAACAACGCCAAAACCAAAGCAATATTCAATTCATAACACGAAAGAGAAGGCAGCATCCTCCAGAAATGAGCGTCGGTGGCACGGAGATACGGTGGGAGGAAAGCATTAAATATCTATAGGTCACTTTTGACAAACGGCTTAATTGGTATAAACATATGAAATGCAAACGGAATAGTTCCTCTAAACTTCTACATCTCCTTAAGCCGCTGTTTAATAATAATCGCTTCAACCTCAAAAATAGAAAGTTAATATATAGTCAAATAATCAGACCAGCACTACTGTACGGATGTGTAACATACAGCAAAGCCTCAAATACTGCCATAAAGCAATTACAGATAGCACAAAATCTGGTTTTAATAAGACAAATTAAGATTCCTTGGTATATTAGAACAACAGATATGCATAGCGATCTAAGGATCGACTCAGTAAAAAAATAAAAAAGGATAGAAAGGTAAAATTATTCAAAAAAGTTGATACGTTACCCAACCCCACCCTAACAAGCCTTAAGTCCACCTCAGGACGCACAGGAAGATATGTTGATCTAAGGTCCGTCGTCAGTTAAAAGATAAATAAATAATAATAATTCTAGTATAGTTAAAGCATAGCGTGGGGCAGGGATAAGCCCTCCTGCCACAAAAGAGTAAAGGTTGGCTATAGCACTAGCTCAAATCACAACAACAACAATATATATAAAAAAAAAAAATAAAATGTATTATAAATAAAATAAGAACAAAAATCAAAAAAAAAACAAAAAGATTGGAAGAAAAAATAATATTAAAATTAAGGTGCTAACTTCTTTAATAGATTCCAAATCTCTTTAAAAATTGACCATATTACATTAGTAATTAAAACTATTGAAAATATGCGGTTGGAGAAGGACAGAGTAATTCTCCATAACCTTGTGTAATCGTTTTAGCTCATTCGAAAGAACAGCACAAATTTTGACTCAGTTATTAGTTAAAATTAATCTGATAATATATAAATTTTTAGTGTGTTAATTTAATATGACTGTCATATTTCGATAATTGCATCAAAGATTCTGCTGTTACCTGCAGATTCTGTTAAATGGAAAATGAAACATCCACTCAATATATTTGGGGTGCCCTGAAATTAACGAGAGTTGTGTTTAGTATCCCCGAATGGAGTATGTGTGTATGTGTTTTCCTTAATACAAAAGGTATCTAATTTTTAGAATCGAGAAATATGTTTTTAGGCATGTTTATTGCTTGAATTTATGCAGATTAACTTGAGAGACTACCTCAAATATAGCACAATAGATCAAATATAGCAATATAGATCGTATTCTACAATTATTACTTTTAATAATAATATAATTAATTATCCTTTTGATTCTCGATTGTGAACTGTGATTAAAAGAAATTGGTAGCAGTTAGCACCGTTACTTCTTTCTTCGCGTATGTCTCATCTGATTAACGCTGCTAAAACCTGGGAGTCTATATCACTTTAAATGTAAATTTTTTTTTGCATGAAGTATCACAACGCATACCAGTAGCAACGTCACTCGATTTTTTTTAAGTGAAGCTAAAAAACTTTTAGATTATACTTACTAACTATTTAGCTAAATAATTAAGACATTAACGTGTATGTACTTGCAGGTGGTTTTAATAGAAATACCTCCATAAAGAGAGAGAGAGTTCAGAGTTTCTTTGGAGTTATGTTTAGAAATTATTACAGTTTAAAATTACTCCTTTACTCTTGCTAAATGTTCTTAATAGTAATGTATTTTTTTTTCACTTTTCTTATCCTAAATATCGTTTATTGATTAGGATTGTTAGGCAATACCGAAGATCGATTAAAACCGTCCAAATCATATTTAAAATTTATTTAAAAAAAAATCATTTAGGCCTATTGAAAATTGTATCACATAATTAATTCAAATTATAAGTAATTTATAATATAAATTATAAAAAAATAAAAATAAAAAATACGTCTGCAATTATAAATTTTGACAAGACAAGGAGTATTCCCTAATGTTGTATATAACTAAAAAAAAATTATTCGATTATGAGAAATCGGATTTTGCTCATAAGAGCATTAAGTAACAGAATGTATATAAAATTAAATTAAACTTAATTATTAATTTTATATTGGTAATTAAATTATTACCAATATACTTTCCCTTGTAAAACCTAAACAAAAAGAACAACAACACCGACCAAAATGCTCAAAGCAAATAGTGGAGTAGTGTAGAGAGCAATATTATATAAACATTAAAAGAAAAAATAAATAAAAAGTATATGTATTAACATAGGATTTATAAAAATAGTGTAGCTAATAAATAAATAAATTATTTAATTATTAAGAATAACAAAAGTTTAACTAAAATGAAACAATCATAGTAAAAAATAAATTTCAATTTAATATACAAATAATTTTATATAATATATAAAAAAAATAAATTTTGTGTAATATTATAAGTAAATTCATAAAATTCGAGATTCAATGATTTTATAATGTGAAATATTCTATGCATAAGAATTTAAAATAGAAAGAAATTAAGAAATTAAATTAAGGATAACATACCATAAATTAATAGATAAAAAAGTATATAACGTATATTTTTATTCTGTCACATATCCATTGTTGGCCTTTTCTCCTTATTGACCTGATACAAACCATCCATAGCCATCAAACAAATACTTTTATTTATTTTTGTTTAGACAAATATAATAGGGGTATTCACGATATTACACACGTGACGAGTTCGATAACCGAGTAATAGAGTAAGAATGCATGGTCGCAATGATAAAATATATTTTGAGTAAATATATTTAGCTATTGGCGTTTTGCAGGGTTACCCTATTATCAATATCGTGAATATCTGTGTTTATTTTTATTATTTTACTTTACAAATGACGTGTTCTCAGTTAATTTGCAATAAATAAATATATTACCTGGCCTATAGCCCGGTCAAAATAGATCTTAATAAAATAATTAACAACTATTTGCTTTAAATATATTGAATATTTTATGTTAATATATTATATTAAAAAAAGAACTGTGAAATAAAGATAATTAACTCTAAAACCCAAACAACCTAATATATATATAAGATATTAATATAACATATTTATATATTTAAATAATATATTAATACAACATATTTATATATTTAAATAATATATTAATACAATATATTTATATATTTAAATAATATATTAATTTGTTATATTAACCCATATCCGCCCAAGGATTTTTTTTTTTGGAATTTTCGGTCAAAATGTTTTTTTTAAAGCTAAATTAGTAAGGAAGTGGGGGTGTGGAGTGAAGCCACAAATATTTTTGTAAAGCTAAAACTTCATACATTTAAAGTAATGATATATATAAACTCTAAAGTTTCTCTAATATAAACAAAACATCCATGAAAAGTGATAAGATTTGCTGTTTGATTAATCGAACGTTGGGCGGATATGGGTTAATATATATTAATATATTATATATATATATATTGGGTTTTAAAGTTAATTATCTTTATTTCACAGTTCATTTTTTTTACTATTGTTCCTGAAATAAATGAAAAAGGCCATATATAAAGCTGATTTCGACGACATCCACGATTAGTCTAGCGATGCCTAATATTATTAGTCTAATATTTTCAATTTTTGGGAGGGATTTTTTTATAAGTAGCTCGATTTGATATAATATCAATGCATTTCCAATCTGAAATTTCATCTTTAAATTTCATGCTTTATTAACCAGACATCTGGTGTATCAAGTATCGGAAATGAAGGTTTTTTTGGGTATCAATGAATTTATCGTTTAAAAAAAATTGTTTTAAATATCAAAAAACTTCAGTATACTATATATATAATATATAATATATATATATATATATATATATATATATATACAGCATATATGTATATAGTATATAACGAGGGCGGTTTGATAAGTCAGTGACTTTTTGAATAAAACAAATTTTTTTCGGCAAATAAATATTTTATTTTTCTACATAATCACCTTTTAGCTCAATACATTTAGTCCAGCGTTTTTCTAATTTTTTTATTCCCTCCAAATAATAGGTTTTCTCAAAGCTCTCAAAATACGCGTTTGTTTCGGTAATGAATTCTTCATTCGATTCAAATCTCTTACCGCCCAGCCATTTCTTTAGGTTTGGAAACAGAAAATTGTCGCAGGGGACTAAATCTTTAGAATACGCTGGATGGGGTTGCAGTTCGTATCCCAATTCGTGGATTTTGGCCAATAATGCTTAATCAGCACACGAAATCCACTTTTTTCCATTTTCGTAAAAATTCACGAGGTTGTTTGCTTTGAACGGGTATCAAACACCAACTGAACGACGTAGATTGCTCAAAATTAGAAAGTTGCCCACTGGTAGATTACAGCTGACAGCAGCACTGTTGCATTTGGAGTAACTGCGCGGAAAATTCAAAAAGTCACTGACTTATCAAACCGTCCTCGTATATATATACTATATAATAATGCCTTCCTATATCCCTCTCCAAATCAACACTAACAATTTTTGGAAATAATAGTTTCTTATATATAGTGGTTTTTTTTAATAGGCTTTCATTAAATTTGTTTTGTTTGATGGAGATATATTATAACTCGAGAGTTAATTTTCTAGTTTATTAAATATTCATAGTTTATGCAATTTTTTAATAAATTTTAATTATTGAAAAGCAGATAGTTTTTGTAGGTAGTTTTTAAAAAATTATATTCAATCTTTACGAGTACAAGGTACAATACTGTGAATACACAAACAAAAAAAACAATTGAAATTAAATTTAAATTTAGTATTTAATTAAAATAGTTGAATTAATAAAAAAATTTTATGTGTAATATAAGAATATTTATAATATTATAGACTAGTTAAATAGTTGCTGAAATATTTGTATTCATTTTTATTATTCTTTAAAGAAGTTGTTTACTACTAATCAAAATTTTTCAAAATGTATATATCATATATCAAAAATTAACAAAGATATCTTTAAAATTGTAGTAAAGATATTTTTTTTCTATTTCAAGAAATGTACTTATATGTATATTATATGTTATAAGAATAATTAGTTAATGCTCGTATATATTTTAAATATGTATCAAAATCAATTGATGATTTTTGTTTATAAATTTTTACTTTTATGAAAATTTTTGTAAAATTTTATAATTGTTAAAGAGTAAAGCATTTTATAAAAATGTATTAGCAAAAACACAAATAGTAAAATAAAATTGTATTTATTAATTGTAAGCTTAAATTTGTATATCCTAAACTATATAAATGTGATGGCAATGCACCCCTGAGTAGATGAAATTCAGTTTTACAATTTACATATAAATCAAAAAAAAAAAAAAACTAGTTAATAACTAAATAAATGAATATAGGAATAAAAAATTTATTTATTATTACTTATTTTGAAGATTTAATAGACGATCCTAGACAAAAGCGTATGTAGTTGTAAATATTGTAATACATACGTGTTCTAAGGAAACGTTTATCTACGGTATTCAAGAAGCAATATTTTTAGATAAGTTTTAGGTAATTTTGTCAAAAACCTCTTAAAAATCTGGCAAAATATATATTAAGGTCAAAAACAAAAGTCAAAACACAAAATTAGTTACTATATACATACTATAAGCAGTTAAGTACGCAAAACAGCAAAAAACTAAAATTAAAAAATATTTTAAAAATATTTAAGTACTATAGCATTTGGAAAACAATAGCCTAATATAGAGTCAAAATATTGTAAAAATAAATGATTTTAATAAAATTTAAATTAAAAAATAAACTCACACTTATAATAGTTTTATTTCAGAAATTAAGCATTTAACAGCATGTAAAAGTTCTTGTCTTCAACATAATTTTGTGGATAATTTTCGATACATGGGACCGACTAGTACTGAACTCTGGGTGGTTTAGTCCATTTAAAAAATTCTAAAAAAAAAACCATAATATACAAATTATTATGTATGGTCAGCTTTAATTGGAGAGAACAATTAAATTTATATATTTCACCTACAATTTGACCTATAATAATATATAATAACTACAGTTTTTAGGTATTATTAAAGAAGTTCAATCTGGTAATATATATTATTTATATTTGGTTTATGCACTTTTTTGTTTAAATTTTTTTTAATTAAAAATAAATTTTAATTAAGTACATATTGGCCATTATCGGCGAAAAATTTGGCTAAGTGATTTTTAGCGGTTTTTCGGTTGGGCAATTTGCACCATTAAAAGTGGTTTGCAGACAACGTAACGAGTGGTAGTTTAACAGTGGTAGGCCTAGACATTTCGATGGATGCAACAAAACTTTCCAACCAATATTCTTTAATTGGTTCCAAATCCTCAAATATGTGTGTGGGCTGAAACTGTCATGGTAGAACAAAATTTTTTTCCTTTGTCCAATTCTGAGCAGTAGAGAACTGAATTAACCATTGGACGAGAATGGAGCAGTTTGTAATAGATAGTACTCTTACTCTCTTTGATAGTACTCTCTTTGTAAAGGGATGACTTGCATGAGATTTTCACATATTTAATATATTTTTCATCGCCTAACACTTTTTATAATACGTAGTATTTATCTAATAATGTTAAGTTAAGCACTCTCCGTTGACCTACCAAGACGTGATATGAAACCGCAATATTTATTTCGGTTTTTAGGTTCCCATATATGAACACATAGATATATTATCTAAATATTACATGGTAAGTAATACATTATACCTAAATACGTATTCATTTACCAATCGGCATGTTTTGTATATCTAGTTCATATATACCTATATATCAATATGAAAGGTAAAGTATAGCATATAAATGAGCACTTTTTTGTCTGAATATATTAAAGAAAAAAAAAAAACAACAAACATTAAACAGAGTCTTAGAGAGAATATAGTGAGAGTTCAAACTAAGAAATTAACTAAGTATTCAAAAAGATGATACGTAATACAACATTCTAATCAAAACATAGATGGTTTAAAACTTTTAAAAAATATTTAACGAAATTGTTTCCGGAAAACCAATAGAATGTGAAATGGTACATTTTTGTGGTATTTCTTGTTACCAGGTTGGTTTGGCAGAAGAAAATCATAGTGCACTACACCACTATAATTGAAGAAAACTGTTGCGAAGACTTTTAAGCAATTTTGGAACGACACTATGTTTCTAAATATTTTAGAGGTTTCAGCAAATTGAACAGAATAAATGAAAAACCAACCAAAAATGTAATTTCAAGCTAATGCTGTGATATATAAGGTACTCTGCATTGTCAGTTTTACATTATGAGACAGAAACTCGATTTCTAAAAATTTTAGTAATGAGTAAAATAAAAATCTTTAAGATAAGGTCCTTTCGCCGTTTGTTCAAAGTAGCTTGGACCGACTTTATTATCAATGTAGTTGTATTCCATTGTAATATGCAATAGGTAAAGGAACTGCTAAGAACGATTAAACACAGGAAAAAATTATACCTAGCACATATCGTATATAATATATACCTAGAGCAAATCGTGCTGTTATTAAAAATCGTAGACCGTATAAAAGGCAGTAGAAACACAAAGCGAAAACTGATTTTAAGTCTCAAAAGTATATGAGAAGGGATCGGACTGCAGACTATCGAAGAAGTGGCACAGACTGCAGAAACAAGAGATATGTATGAAGAAATTGGGAATAATGAATTTTATATTATGCGCTTGATATGTAAATTTCCAAATATTAATATATATCCGTTTATAAAATGAAGACTTTGATAAATAAATATTTGACAATAATATCATGCATACCAATAATATATTATATATAGTGCACTATAAAAAATACATATTTGTAAATATAATCCTTCAGTTCATATTATGTATTTCAGCCCTTTAAGGCCGCTCTGGAAAAAAAAAAATAAAAAACAAAAAATTTAAAATTAAAATATTTTTTCTTTATTAAAATCTGTTTATTTTAAGTACTTTTTATAATTAATACTAATATTTAGTTGTGGCACTATTATTTTTTAAAACTTCGGTACACCGGTGACCCATAGAATCCACTAGATTTGCGCAAATCGATTAATCAATGCCATACTATTCGTTTTATACCTTATTCCACAAATTTCCCGTTTTTGTGTCTGTAGTTGGAAATTGGCTTCTTAAGAATTCTCAAAAAATGTTCTATTGGATTTAAGCCCGGCGACTGCGAAAGTCATCCTAATAACGCGTTACTTTTGACCCAGAAACAGATCTTTGCTATTCGAGGGGAGTATTTAGGGTCGTTCTCCTGCATTAACTCCCACTTCAATGGCATTTCTTCTTCGGCATATGGTAGCATTGTATTATTGAATATATAGATATAGTCTGTTGCGCCCATCTTATCTCTTATCCAATATATTGGACTAACACCTGATGAGGAGAAATAACGCAAAAACGTAATATTACCACCGCCGTGTTTTCTTGTTAAAATTACTTGCTTTGGATGGTGTGCACAATTTTTAGGACGCGATTTTTAACATTTGATTAATAAACAAAAAACTTGATTTCCTTCATTTGGAACAGTATGAACACTTTCCAAATTAACTTAATTTCATTTTAACGAAATTAAGAAAATTTGGCTGTGTGAACATAGTAAAATATTAATATCTTTATTTACAGAAGTTGAGACGAATTTATTCATTTTTATACAAATCTAGTAGACCTGAAAATTTTAAATTCATTGTAAATGGAATACTTCATCTTATAAATTTTTATAAAATTTAATATTCAACTTCATATGGTTTCAGAATTGTTTAAACATTCAAACAACAGCTTGTAAACAGTATATTTCAATTGTGATCTGATAATAACAATGAGTTCCGACGGAATTGAGGACCATTCATCTGAAGATACTGAATACTTCAGCTGTAAGTGAATATATTTTTATTTTTATTAAAATTGTTTATTGTGTACATAGTCATATCGCTATGATTGACTTTGAAAGAAGTTATTTCGTGGTCTTAAAAACAAAAAATTTATGAAATATCGGCTATAGTTCCAAATTTTAAGGAATTTTAAAGAAATTTAGTAAGGAAATTTTTTATTTCCTTACTAAAATTTGAGGTCCAAAGTTCAAAATTTTTACCTTCAATGACTATTATTAAATACCTGCTATACAAGCATTTATGTTATCTCATATGGTTCCTTAAGGCATTGTTTTTTTTACTTTTAAAAGAATTTCACACTTTCGATTTATCAGTCCGGCCAACTTTTCCGCACTGGCATTGATACCCAACAACGATTGCGGTAGTTTGTTTTCTCTGTAATATTATAATATTATACAGAACATTGTAATATTATAGTACTACGCAAAGGCTATAAGCTCAAATTATTTAACTGTTCTTCAACCTAAGCTTGTTTAACAACAGTCTTCCATTCTTCAATGTTTTTTGCTTTTGTTTTCCAATTTCTTGTCTTCATTTCTTCTAAGTCCTGCACACTGTCTTTCCATCGCTTTCTTGGTCGCCCTTTTCTTCTGCTAAATTCTATTTCGTTCTCATAAATCTTAAGCGGTACTCTCATATTCGGCATTGTTATTACATGTCCAACCCATCTAAATCGCTTAATCGCTATAACTTTGTTGGTTGTATCAACTTCATCTAGCCGTTCTAGTTCGTGATTATATCTTATGCATCCCGTTTTCTTTCACGGGGCCAAAAATTGGCGAAAAATACAAATATGTTAAAGTTCGTTCAAATTTAGAATTTATAATTATTTTTTTTTATATTAAAGAGCTATAAATATAGATGAGAATAGTATCCGTCGGATAATTATTTCCAGTGATATAGTGATTGCATCTCTATTTGAGATAGACTTTTCTTTGACGTCTTCGATGCTTCGAATAAAATTTGTGATTCAATTTTGTATGAAGAATGGCACTGAGTGCCACAAATTAGTCGAATCAATTGAAATAGTGTAAACCTATTAGTAAAATAATATCTATATTAAATAATTAAAATAGAAATGAAAAAAATGGAAATGAAAATTCACAATAAATACAACAATAAATTGAAATTCTCAGATAAGCAAAGCAATCTGGAAATTTGAATTTAAATAAAATTTTTTTCCTCTTCAATATAAAACTTCAAAACGTTTCAAAAGTTTTAATATCTCGGTTCAGTTTATATCGTTTGCTTACCTACCAATCTTTATTGTCAATAAACTTGGAATTTAGATTGCAATTTGGAAGTAATAATGACGGATCCTGAGCACTCATCTGAAGAAGAATTTTTTAGCTGTAAGTGAACTTCAAAACATTAAAAATTGTTTTTTGATCTATCGATGTCTCTTCTATTAGTATACTCTATAAATCGACGTTGAGTTAAGTTTGCCTTTTTTTAATATTTCTCTCAGTTTTTTCTTCAATCTCATGGCACTTTTTCAGTTTTTCAATATAATAGCTATTGTGCTATCTTTAACACAGTCCATAAATCAATAACGTCCTTGACTCCATGCTGGCAGCCCAGCATGAAATCAATAATTTTTACATAAAAAATTTAAAATACATATATGTTTATTTTTAGTTGAGACAAATAGTTCATCAACTGAAGCTTTTGGAACCAAGGATGATACTACTGGGGACTATGTATCGGGTAAGCATCGTATTTATTTTTTATTTATATTTTCAAAATATGAATGTAATAATATAATTATATTACTTATCTTATTTCTGTCACGTATGAAACCATATATATAACACTTTTAATGAATTACCTATTTCAGTGGTTTTGCTCTCTGATATTGTAACACCTTTAGTTAGTTAGTTAGTATCTTTGGTTAATGTGTACTACCCGTTGTGGTATTTTTTGGAGACTGCGATAGGTATATGGTTGTCTGTAATTTTGAGATATATCACTTAACACACACAATTCAAATATAAATGTTGAAATCAGAAATGTTATCAATTAAATGACTCAAGATCTGAAATAAGTGCACAGCATAAAATATGGTTGTATAATGTCATACTAAACTCGATATGGTCTTATGGAGTTATATTTTTGATATTGAAATTTTACAGAAATATAAGTCTATAATCTTCCGACTGATAGAGAGTAAATAGTTTCAGTCTATCTTAAATGATTTTACTATATAGTGACTTCAATACTCTGTGCAGTAAATGAGAAATTAAATGATTATCAGAAATATATTGTATTTAAATAAATCAAGCTAATATGAAATTATTATAACGATATATATAAATTTATACGGATTCATTTAACTGTATTGCAGCGTAAAGTCCATACATATATTTCTTCTAATATCAAACAATATTTTCTTAATGTTAATTTTTGTCGAAAGTGACATGTTTTATAACGAAAAGAAACTATTTAAAAGTTAGAAGGGTTCGAATAGAAATAAAAAACACAACAACAAATATTTTAATTAATTTGTTGAAGTTATAGTCAGTAAATAATTTATTTGGACTGTAAGTGCCAGGCTTAAAGTTTTTCAATCTTGTAGTTTTTGCAATTCTGTTTTAGAAGTACATCTAATTTTTAGGTGTCAATGCCTGACGACAAAAGACTTATCAGCATCGTCACGAGTTATGATATTACTTAGAAGTATTTTCGTACTCAGTCAATTTTCTATGTTAGTTTCTATTTCTCGCTTGGTCATCCACTTATGTTTTGCTAGTCTTAGAAAATAGTTTAGTATGCTTACCAACACTCTGTAATAGAATCAGTATTTTGTATGAATAGTTTTTCCTATGCTAAGTATGTCTCACGTTTTTGTCTAGCTGGTTCATCAGTGATCTTAACTTCCCGGTGGACTGGAACTCAAACTACTGTATACTCACGGATAATTGTTAACTATATCACGGTGTACATAGTCATAATTTTGTATTATTTTGTATTTACCGTGTTAGATAGTATGATAGGCAGAATGGTCTTATGTAGTTCAAATTTATACCCTATAAATATCTGTATCTAGAAATAACAATATACAGGAAAACAGGAAATGTTTTATATATCATATTAAAAATTGTAGCACACAAGAATAACAATTAAAGAATTTATATAATTTCATATTCCTTCAGCTGAGTCCAAAAGTCGTTTTGATAATTCCACAGACTGTGATGCAGATCACTCCTCCATTGATGATTCGCCTAGAAACTCCACTCGTAAGTTAAATAATTAAATAATCATTGATTGTTAATAGAATCCTAAAGACATGTTTTAATTTAATCTTAGAACTAGCAAGGTATTTACTTAAAAAGAACGCTAGGAATTTAAAGAAGATTAGGCATATGTTTCATATTTTGCATGAAAATGGTACTTTGGCAACAGAACCAAAGTATAAACCATTTGAAATCGCTAATAATATAATTGTTACATGCCAAACAAAACTGCGACTATTCACAGGTGAGTTTCAAATAAAAGAGGAGCAATTTTACGTTAATACCAGTCGAAACACGGAGTATAAAAAAGGTGGAAAAATTGCCTCCATTAACCCCAACAAGTTTCAGTTTTTGCATTCAGTAAAATACAACAAGTGTATTGTGGTTGAAAGAATTAATTCGAATCAGGTCGTGAACGTTTGTAATATTGAAAATGAGACGGTTCAGTTTATATGCTTGGGTGAAGAATACGAAGATATGTGGGAATATTGGCGCATTATGAATAGTTTGAGTGCCACAACTGTAGATGAATTCTGCTCAAAAGTCAACAAATGCATTACTACGAAACAAGATATGGAAATTATAGATAATAGAGAACTAATGTACTCTTACATAACACAAAATCTTGTTTCATCTGAACATATAGCCACATTTGATTTGGAGTATAAAAAACCTGCCTTTAAATTTTTTTTTGACTTTGCTTTAAAGTTAAACACCCGAGTATATGAATTGCTAACGCTAAGGCATCAATTAAATTGTCGTAAGTCTCGTAAAGCTACCACTTGTTCTACATCTCGTATACAGAGTACCATAGCGAATAACAACGCAAGCTCAAGTTTTGTGTCAGTGAATACCAAATATACTGAATCCCTAATAAGAATAAATGTAAAGAGTGAAAATCAAATATCAACTAAAGGTTCTCAGCAAAAAATCCAGACCAATGATACTCGTCAACAGCAGAACAACGTTAGTGGTAAAACAACTGTTGAAAACCAAATGTCAGGAACCAGAAAGAAGAATAATGCTGAAGAAGCAAACCTGGATAAAAAATATATTTTAAGTGAGCAATTAATTTTGCCTCAAGTTGTTATAAGATTTGGAACACCCAATGTTTTAAGACTTGTAAATTCTGCTTATAGCGTGGAAAAAGCAAAAAAACTTTCAGAAATATTTAACTCCGAATGGTATAAACACTTTGTTTCCCAAGTTTATGACCCATATAGCTATAATCTCCAAGAGCCTTCTATGGCAGCTTGTTCTAAGACTTCCCAATCAGGTACATGCTCTGATGCTTCTAAAGAGCCTAAAACTAAAAATGCTGAGGTACAAACTCCTCCAATAAAAAAGAAAGTGAATATTAGATGTGACGTTTGTACAGAAACAGAGGACATCATTAGCGGAAATCGCTACGTTCGACCAACAACTGTGTTCAAATACAATAATAGCTTCTTCTGTGACGGTACAGAGGGGGAAGATTTTAAACAAGATATATATAAGATGCCTGAATATAAATTATTTGGCGACGATTGGCAATACCAGTCTCCAATATTTTCCAGTAATTATAGAGCACCACCGCCACAGAAGAAAACAGAAAAGGAGCCGGGAAAGGTAATTTAAATTACTATTTTATTTGTAATACACAAACGTACATAAATACAATCTTACGTAGATTGTATCATCTGTAAAATTTTACTACTCCAAATTTTTTAGTACGCTCGTACTCAAAATATTTAATGTTTTTAATTACTAAAGATAGATGCTTAAGCTAAAGGTTAGGACCGACAATCCAAAGAAATCCACTAATGCCTATTGGGCCATTATGTTAATATCTAAGGGAAAACTTAGAGGTTTGCTAATTAATTTCCATTATGTTGCGGTGTAAGGGAAAACACAGAGGTACATAAATCCGCTACTTATGTCCGAAGTCAACGCGGCAGTTAACTTAGTTGACAGCAGCCGATAAAAGCGTTCCAAAGTGACAAAAGGAGAAACAGTCGGCTAGTTTGCTGTGTAACTTAGCCTTTTCGAGGTTTTCAGTCGATATGTTTTAAAATAACAACTGTTAGGAAAAACTTTTTATTAATGATTTAATATATACTAAAAATAATGGTAGAAGTTACAAATTGATTTTAAAGCGATCAAATTTTTGATTATTTAGATGGAAACATTGTGGGTTCGCCAACGAAAATGTGATCCAGAAAAACAAAATCAGAACAAAGAAATACGTAAGTCTTATTCGCTTGATCATTGTAAAAGCGGCCCCAGACCAGCAGAGGCACCAATGTGTAAGTATTAAAGTATCAATACGTATAAATTTAAATGATCTATTTTGAAACTATTCTAGTTCATATGGGCAGTAATAACGTAACTACTGCTGTTAACTTTGCATCAAATTATCTGTCTGAAGGAAATGAATTACGACTTAATTGCTCTGAATATCAACAGTTGGATTCACACCTTCATCCACAGAGTTACTTTGAAAAAATTGCGAATGGTTATGAACATCTTGGCGGCCAACAAGGTTCATCAGCAGAAGACATACGTTTATCCATAAATTCTTTTCAGAAACCACAGCACAGTCAAGAACACATGACAGTCAATTATGAAAATATCATCTCTGCCGAAGACATTTTAAATAATGCTATTATCCGTTCCAGTCATTTTTTACGTTCAAACTGTATGGAGACAGGAATTGGGAAACTTTCGGCCCATGACAGAGCAACTGAATCTCGCTGTCATTCGCAGACAACTTCCAGCGTTTGTGAAGTACCATATATTATAATAAATCCCAATAACCTGAGACGTGAAATTGAGCAGTTTGTAGTAAACGATCCCAGCATAAGCGCTGTGAAACAATTCTTTAATGTCGGTATGCAGTATCCAATGCATCTTATGTATTTACCAGCAAATCTGGAGCTATTGGCTAGAGCTGATATAAACACTGACAATGTACTATTAAATGAAAATCACATGAGTTCTGGCAATGCTTCAGAACAGCTGGCGTTAATACCACATCCTTGGCTTTTGACACTGATTCATCCCAATTGCGCAGCTCTTGGCTTCTGGCGCAGTTTGTGGCCACCATTCTATTTCAATCTAATAGCAAAGCGAAGGCTTAAGACAGCATTTACCTTTAATCCGGGAAATCCATATAAGTAACGTTATTTTCACAATAAGAACTAAATTATCTGTTTTTTTTATGAGTAATGAATAACTCACGCTGTGTGTTTCTAAAGAGTTGAAATGTTCTTTTTCCAAATTTCTAATTTGATGTTTTTATTTTAACATTTTTAACTTCGGTTTAAAAGAAAACAATTCATTATAAAGAGATAAACAAAACCAGTAACCAAATATGTTTTTCTTTTTTTTTACATATGCATATATTCATATATAATCTGAGGGATTAGTGTTTGTTATGACATTTAATGAAACTATTGACCAAGGAATAGGAAGAGTTCAATGAGTATACATAACAACTAATCAATACAATTATGTTACGGAAATATTTCAATTCAACAATAATTTTATCATTAAAGAATAAAGGAAGGTTTACAACCCTTCAGGAGGTGTTAGCAGGGGTCAGTTATTTTTGCTCTGTCACTCTGTGACAATAATTGAAGAGATGAAGAGCATCAAATATCTAAACCTCAAAATTTATTTGTTTCGTTGTGTTAAATAACAATCGTTGGTTGCGGTCAACTTCAAAATTCTTGACCATCCTTAATGTTTGAATTGTTGTGGCTCTTTTGTCTTAATCTTTGCAATTTAAGCTCAAAAATATTTCCTGTAAATTATTTATGAAAAAATTTCATAAAATAAGTAAATAAAATTGTTTTATCAAATTTTTTTTTATTTAAAATAGCTGGAGTATTTAAATTTAATTTAAATATATTAAACATCTTTTCATCATCGAGTCATGACACTGACAATGATAAAGTTCTCAGTTCAGTATATAAAAAATAATATAAAAAATTTTTTTAATAATAATTTTATGGGGATTGACAATGATGAGCAATTTTATCCCAAACCTTGATTCTGAGAAGTGCAGCTATTAAATGATTTTTATAGCATGACACTCTTTAAGTACATAAATTATTTTTGCTCTTAAAAATTTATAAAAAAAAATTGTTTCACTTCCAAAATTTGATGCAATGCAAATATAGGGTCGGACAAAAAGTATTTACCATTTTGAATCTAATATGAAATATTTTTCGAATAATCGTTTTATATATCGCAGTACCAGTGACGACGCGTGCCCTATCTGGAAGGGTGTGCGGCCCTTCTTTAATGTTGTTTTTACATGTACCACTTATATTAAAATATATGAGATCTTTTATTAATAACTATATTATATAAGGCAACAATATATTCGCGCAATATTATATTAACAATTCATTAACAAAATAACATATTAAACAAATTAAATTAATAATTTATATACAAGTTTAATATTATATCAATATGGAAGAAACAAAACTTTTCACATAATTCTCGTAACATCAAACCAAATTTTTTCAAACAAAAGAGTTTGTACTTAGAAACATACATGTTTGTGCAGTGATCAAACAAAATCGAAACCACTTGCAATGTGCGCACAAGTACCCCGCACAATAAGAACAGAAATTCGTGGGTGCTGCTGTTAAAAGGGGAGAGACGAAATGTGATAGAAATGTATGGTGAGATGAGCTGCAAACTTCAGCCGCTCATGCAACCACTTTGGCAAATCATCATGTTGGATTCGTATGCATACAGTTGATATTCGAATAGAACAGAAAATTACTCTCATACAATTCCCACTATATATGTAAATCTCTATTTCTGATATTACGAACGGGAGCACACGCACATTATTTTGTTCATATGTAACGTATGAATGTGCGGCCAACTTCTTTGCACACAAAGGGGAGAGACGAAATATAATAGAAATGTTCTGTGATTTGAGCTGCAAATATATGAGCACAACTAACAAGTATAGCGGCTAACAGAAGCAAATTAATTGAGTTTTCATAGACAATTATATTTAATTGTTTTTGCTAAAACTTTAAAAATATATATTTATATGGAAATGTAATAAATAATAATAATTCTTGATGTAAAGATACTTAATAAATTTATATACCTATGTTATTTAACATTTTGCAAATTATATTAGGGTGTTCACCGCACACCTCCGCACCTTAGAGCAGTCGTCACTGCGCAGTACCTATTTCACATTTTTACAGGCACTTTGCGCTGAACAATCTTATACCAATGAGATACTTCTGGGTGTACTTCCGAAATAGGTACATGTGCTGCTGACTTTTCTCTTTTGACGACAAGTTCCCATCAGCAAAATTGTGCTACCAAAGACAATCTATATACAGTATTAGCTTTTTCATGGTTCCAAAAACAAATGTGAAAATTCTTTGAAACCATACATATTCCACACCTATATATTAAATTTCATTCTATAAATAATGAGGCAAGTATAGTGATCAGAGTTCAGGATTCAAGAGTTCATGTTACACATTCGTCTGGCGCATATTTATAACACCTCCAGATCAAATACCAAACTATAAAGGGATTTTTTTTCGATGAAATGTACAAATCGGTATGCGAAATATTCTATGCATATCGATATTCCATGCTATGCGGTTTGGATCTCTTAAGTACTTTTACTTACAGAACTAGTATATTTATCCGTGTAGGCTTATCGATGATATCTTGACCTTAGCACATCTATTATAGATTCAGTTTCTTTAAATTTATTTATAGTTTTACTTTTACTCCACGCAGATACTCATATATGGTGACAATAATCTCTTCGTCTTAAACGAAATATACCTACTACAGAGTCCTTATTTTTTTGATTAACGCTTTATTATATGTGGCGTTCGTGGTGACAATTACATTTGATATATATCTTTAAAATGGACATATAAGGAGGCCTGACTGCATCTTTGGAGAGGATTAAAATCCATAATCTTCTTAGTCTTTGTTGAATAGAAAAAACACTCTTTTAGCAAAGAAGGTATTTTAAAAAAAATAGATCAATTTTAATTCAAATTCTATCTTCCCTTTCATAAAAGGTCCTGTTTACCTTTTGATTTATAATTTTAGTTTATATTTTATTTTCAATTTTTTGAGTTGTTACTTTGAAATTATTTTAAAGTCGGCTTTGTTTTTCAAGGAATTTTAGCTTTTATTTCGGTCGTTATTTTTGGTATATATTGTTTTGAATAATAAATTTCTAAACATTTTTTTTGACCAATTTTTAAGTTATATTATTTTTCAGACTATTTAATAACTGTTTAACTAAAATCAAATTATTATTGAGAAAATTTTTATTGAACTCATCCACCAGAACCGAAGTTTTTACATATCAGACAGACATTATAGCAGCACTTTGCTCCAGAAGCTTAAGTAAACTACACCAGCTTTAAAAATTTTCCATTTACATTATATAATAATGTGGAAAACTTTATATTATATCTCCTTTCCATAAAGTGTTTTGCAATTTTACTTATTTAATCCTCTTGAATTTGGAATTAGTCGTTTAATTGAAAATGGTTTACAACACTTCCAGGTGTAAAACGGATGTTAACGCCAAGTAAGCACTTTTAATTAGGATTTGTGTGCTAGGCGTAAAATTAAATTTTCAAAAGTATTTAGTTTTGTTTTCAAACTCAAAATAACAATATTCAAAAGTTAATTTTAATATAATTCAAAAATATTATTTAATTTAACTTGCACTTATTTCACGCCATAGTACTAAGATAACCGCTGCTAATTTTAATGTCAGTCAGTAGATTCACATTATATGCGCCCAGTAATAGTATATTAATAACATTAGTATTAAATTAAATTTTATTATTTAATGCTAATTTTTAGCATTTAGTTCTTGTCTTTTCATTTCTATTTAAACCCTTCTAAATTTTATTATGCTTTTTCTGAAAATTTCACTAAACATTAAATATGATGTTATATTAAAATTGTATAATTTATAAAGAGGTTTTCGAAAAGTAGCGAATTACAACAACAAAAATTATTTTTATATTATTTTAATTAATTGCATTTTTTGCTGGCCATACAGCTTTTTCAAATATTGCCAAATACCCATCATCAGTGGTCTTGGATATAACTTTTGTATTTAATTACTCGTTAATAATTTTTTGAAACTCAGATTGTGTATTTTGGAATTCAAAATACT